AAGCCTTCCTAAGCTATTTAATTTTCCACCAGGGTTGAAAAGCCGCTTCGCGACTTTTCAACCCTGGCCCCGTCTGATCCCGTGATATTCTTCACTTTGCATAATTCTCGCGATTTTCGATGGCAAAAACTGAAAAACGCTGCCTCTTTTCCCTTATCCTATCCTATAAGCGAGAAAAGTATGTTTGTTTTCTGTAACGACGATTTCTCGGCCGTCAGGCCGAATTTCGCGCTGATTTTTGGCATGGAGGCGGAGAAATGCATTTGCCAAACACGCATTTTTTTGTTTTCCGAAATTCTTTGATTTAACAATTTTACAAGCAAAATCGTAAAAATCCTTAACAAAATGGGCGATGAGCCGTGGTGTTCGGGCGATAACTTGATTCGCATTTGGAATTTCGGGCTGAAATTTGGACCAGTTATGTATTCGATAGTGGGGATCACGCGCATCTTATTATCTTTACAAATTTTTTGCAGATTCAGACTCAAAAACTTAATTTTGTAAAGTGACCAGAAGGCTTCCCTCCCGGGGCATGGGTCGGCCTTTTCTGTGCTTCCCCGCCCCCGGGTTCCCCGGAACAGAAGAGGGCTTCCCGCCGCCTGTTCCCATCTACCCCGTGGTGTAGTGGATTTACGCCAGGCCTACCACGCCTTTAGTCGTGGGTTCGGATCCTGAGCAAATCTAACTTTTTGCTTTTTGGCAGTTTAGCAACTAACCATATTTCTAGGCTCTCGGTGTGCGAGGTTTAGGCCTGGCCCTCGCTCTAGCGCCGCAGGCCAAAGAAAAGGCCCTTGACCCAGGCTCTCGCGCCGCAGGCCCAATCCCGGAGAAAAACCAGTAACTCGCGCCGCAGGCCAAAGAAAAGGCCCTTGGTCCAGGCTCTCGCGCCGCAGGCCAAGGATCGTCCCTTGACACAGGCTCTCGCGCCGCAGGCCCAGCCATAGAGAAAAACCAGTAACTAGCGCCGCAGGCGCAAAGGTTTTAGCGGAACGCTGGCTCTAGCGCCGCAGGCCAAAGAATGGCGCCATTCAGGGACGTAGCGTAATACAGGCCCCGGGGCCCGCCCCCCGAAATCGGCCGGGGCCCGAAAATTTCATAAGGGGGGACCCCTATGATTTTTATTTTCTCAAAAATTTTGCTGCCTTGGACGCTATTTTTTCACGTTTTTACGGCTATTTGTAGAGCTATGCAACCCTTTTTTTCAAAAAAAGTTTGCCTGCGGCGCTGTTTTTTCGGCAATGTTTTGAGTTTTTGGAAAAATTTTTTGGGGGCCCTCCCCGAAAATTTTTTCTGGCTACGCCCCTGGCGCCATTACTCAGGTTCTTCCGCCGCAGGCTAAAAGAAGAAGGTATTCAAATTCATGATTCCTGGACGGGGTCCAGTGGAAAATGGCCGCGGAGCGGGCTTTTTCCACTGGTATAGGATACCGTGACTTCCGGTCTATGCTAATTGTTTCCTAACGAAGAGGGTGCTCGATTTTTCAACAAAAACTTAATTTTAACGTCGAAAACAGCTAATTTTTGAAAATGTTATTAGTGTGCAGTCATCCCAAGGCCATTACGCACCTAATGAGGTATAAAACATACCCCTAACTGACCCCCCTTATTGAGATACCACTGGAACACGCTGACGGAAGTTGCATGCAAAGTGGCACGGACACACACACACACAGACACTATTTTTTATATATATAGTAGGAAGTAGGATACCTCAACAAAACATTGCAACCAATCAATATTCGGTCCAATTGTTGCGTCGAAACTTTTGGACCGTCTTCTTCTTTTTGTCGCGCGCATTTGTAGAGGAGTGGCAGCATTTTTCCCAGGTTGAAAGTTACCTAAATGGTTTCATTAAATAAAAACAGTAGCAATGAAGGCTTCACCGGGAGCACAAGCAGACGCCGGGACCCACCTTGGACACGACTTCCGTAGCACCACTCCGGACCAACTCGACAAATGGGGGAATGAGCTGCTGTTTTGTCGGGTAGAGCGCGACAATCTCGTGGTAAGAGGCCGCTGGAAGCGAGGATTTTAGCGTGACTATGTACAAAACACACCTATCGACACTCGGACCTCATCATCGGAGTCGCCGCAAAAAGCCTCCAGAAGTGGGAGAAGCCGCTCGAAGGCTTTTGGGAACATGACGAGGAGACACTGGAAAGGAAGGGGATTAGTCGGTAGGGTAGGCTTATAGTTAGGCTAGGCTTAGACCTGGCTTAGGCTTAGGCTCGGCGTAGGCTTATGCTTAGAATTCGGCTTAGGCCTAAGCTTAACATCAATGGCTGACCGGGAAATTGTAAGCACAAGCTCGGCGTACAAGCGTTCCGAGAAGACTTTCTCGAGCTGTCTTCCCGTCTTTTGGCTGTGCCCACGACACCATCCTGAGATACGTGTTCAGCACCCACGACTGGTCCAGTGCGTCCATCACCTCCTGAAATTAGGTAGTGAAAATTTTGTTAAAAATCGGAAAATTTATTAAAACAGCCAAATTTAATTGAAGGTTACATTGTAAGCGCCCTCGATGCCACTATCCCTTTAAAACCACCAACCCTCAGCTCATAAGCCCATTCGCCAAAATTCTTTGCGACGATGGCGAGCTGCTCGTCGGCTTTGGTCACCGCCTGGTCGGTGCACTTCCTGACAAGTGGCAGCACAGTCGACTTTTTGGCTTCTAAACACTGGGATGATGCATGGAAACGAGGATACCTTTTGTGAAGGTGGGAATGCAGGAAGCAATTGCATTCAGGGCAGCCTCTCGAACCGGCGCCTCCTCATCGCCGACCAGCGATACCAGGCAGGGCAGCACCAAGGACACCGATTCCGATGCTGTACTAAAAACGGAGGGTGAAAATTCATGAAGGGACCAATTTTATAATCTTTCATGCTGAAATACTGAGGGTTTTTTTTGATGGCAAACCCTTTTTCAAGCAAGCCGTTGAAATTGCATTAGACTCGAGAAGCTTAGGTTTGCCTCAGTTTTCGGCCGATTAAACTTCGCCACAGGCTGACGCTTAGTGTAAAGTGTTTTTACTCAAGTTGTAGTTTCGATTCGGGACCAAGTGCATCTTGTGCAGAATTTCGGATCCTGGTCCACTATTCCCTCCATGGTTATGCCTCGGCATGGGTCCTGAAGTACTCTGTCACAGCCCCCTCCCGTTTGGCAACATGGTGCATTGGCAAAGTACTCGCTTGCCAAGCGCAGGGCGGCGGTTCGGATCCCCGCCCTGCACCTTTCTTTTGCTTTTTGCACAAAAAACTTTAATTTTTTATAAAAAAGCTTGTTTTGACTTTTAAGATCCTTGTCTAGCTAATCTCTAGCAAATTTGGAAGTTGAAATTGATCAGGAAAATCGAAAACGATAATGGTTCCTTGATTTTGGTGAAAAACACTACCATAACTGCTGTATAATTTTCAAAATAAAAGTCCGCAGCAAATTTGAAAACCGGGTTCGGAATCAGCAAAAAATTCTGCACAAGATGCACTTGGTCCCGAATCGAAACTCCAACTTGAGCAAAAACACTTTACAGTTAGGCATCGTTCCCCACAATTCAACGCACTTGAGACTCTTTGCAATTTGCGTGATCCTCTGCGCCATTCCGCTCCTCACATTGGCGTTTCCGTCTTCGCACAGCGTCTGCACGGCCGTCCCCAGCTCTTTGCGTATCCTGGAAAGCACCGTATATCCCGAAATTCCCTTAAATACTTGATTCTAGCCGATACGGTGACCCCGGGTGCCGGCGAATAGTAGTGAAACGTTTTCGTGCCCATCCAGTTAATACAAAATGAATTTCCGCTGGTGTATTGCTGACAAATATCGATCCCCAGCCGGGTGGCTACGAGTTGTTGAGCCTCGAACCGAACGGCTCGGCCCCAAGAAATACGATACTTGGGGCGAAAAATAGAAAAAACGACCCGCCTCCAAGATATTTGCCCCAGGACTAGAATATTCCCCTTCTTGGCATGTTTCCAATTGGGGGGAAAGGGACAGAAAACTGACTCGGTTTGCGGCAAAATTGTTGCCAATTTGTGGAGGAGTTTGGTGGCGATGATTCGACGCTGGATGCGTTGTGTGGGCTCGGATTGTTGCTGCACAACGGGCACGATCTGAACAAGTTCGACAGGTGTTTTAGAGACTTAGAGCGAACAAAACAAAGCGCAAAGAGAACAAAAAGCTTAGAAAATGCTCAGAAACTAAACAGCCTTTAGAAAATTTGCGCTAGATTGCTAGCACAAATTTTTTAAAGGTCTTTCTGAAGGAAAGAATTTTTTCGAGCTCTTTTAAGCTCAGCTCAAAACTCACATAAGTCTTGACAGCTTGCAAGTCCAGTCGATCCGAAATATCCACCAGGGTTTCGAGCCAAGCAGCTGCGCTCACTGAAAAGCAAAAAAAAAATCAGAATATTGCACCAGAATAAGCGGAAAATATCATTTGTACAAGCCGTCTGAACCTTTGGCGTTTGAAGCTATTGAATTACAGTGAGAGTAGCCGTTGGTTTTGTCAGATTTTTGGTTGAGAATGAGTTCGAGAGAAATACAAAACTAGATAGTAGTATAAGGCACTGTTCACCGGCTGCTTCAAACACCCAAAAAAATGCAATTTTAGGTGTAAGCAATGGACAGTGATCGGCCCCCCACCACCCTCTCCCTGCTGAGCTGCAATTTGCATATGCAAAGCTCGTGTTGATTTCCCGTTGGTGGGTGTGTGGATAGTATGTGGTGGGAATGAGCTCTCAACTTCCATTCGGGGCCAATAGGGGGCCACGTGCACTGACAGACTTTTTTTTGCTATGCTCACTCTCTCGCTTCAGAGCCATGGTCGCAGTTTTTGAGGCCAGCTCCAGAAGACGGATATAGAGAGAGGGAGAGAGAGCGATAGAGAGAGCGATAGAGAGAAAGAGGGGGGGGGGGCTGGAGCGAGAAAGAGGGGAGAGCGGGAGCGCGGGCGCGAGATATATAGTGAGACAGCGCGAGAGAGAGAGAGAGAGAGAGGTAGAGAGAGAGAGAGAGAGAAAAAGGGAGAGCGAACTAGAGAGAGAGGCCTACAGAGCTAAAGAGAGATGGCGAGAGATAGCGAGGAACAGGGAGATACCGAGCTTTCAACTCTTATAGCAAATTTCTTTAATACAGATGCAAATTTCCAAAGCGCATTCGCGTGCCAGTTTAAAGGGACAGTAAAGGATACAAGGGATGCGGGGCGAATTTTCTAAGGTACCGTACATTCGTCAGTAGGCTGCGTGCGTCGAGCTACCCGGAAGATGACGCGATCCGACGAAATTCCGGCTGAACAGGCGGTTAGTTAGGTGTGGAAGTCCGTTTCAGATGTGGATAAAGTGGAAATGGGCGAGATTGTTGCTAAATGCTGTTAGAAAGGGTAAGCCGAGCCACATGCTGGCGGCTATTTGTTTTGGAGGATGCGGACGCAAAGTTGTCACCCAAAAAAATTGGACTTACTATTATCCTTTTGTTGCTGCACGTTTTCGAGGATGTTTTTGAGGAGCTTCTCGCTGAGACCCCTGCAAATTGGTGCATAATTAATTTGCTACCAATGTCCCCTTGATTGTTGTATTTTCGCCGCTACCCTATTGACGCTATGAGGGCACCATCCACCCCCACCGCACCGTCACGACCGTAATTTGCATAAATGACCTTCTATTGACTCTCCGCCATGCACCCGCCTTATCTATGGTGTCTAAATTGTGTACGAGAATTCTTTAGCGAGTTTGCCGAAAATTCGGACTAGCAGAAAGCTCGGTTTGCATAAGTATGAGCCTCATAACCCAATCCGGACTCAAGGCCGAAGCGTTGGATTCGCGTAGGACTAAGCATAAGCCGGACCCGCACCTGTATGCGCTAGACGAAGCTGGATCTGGTTCTAAGCGGCAGGACTAGACCAAGCCGAATTTAGGCTTAAGCCTAAACTAAGCCTAAAATCCGAATCATAACCCAAGATTAACCATAAGCATAAGCCCAAGCTAAACCGTAGCATTGTAAGCCCAAGCTGAAGCCTAAGCTCAAAAAAAGCGAGTCCCTAGTAATGTAACCGAGCAAGAAAGAAAGAAAAACCTACGGATGCTTTTGGACGAGCCGCAGGTTTTGAAGTATGCTTTTAAAAACAACCGCTGCCTCACAATGCACATCCAAATTAGCCGCCTCGTCGCGAAGGCATTTCTGAATTCTGATATTGTATTTGCGTCTAGTGCAAATGACCCTGCACCGGAAAAGCCGTAAACAGGTCAATTCGCAGCGGCTAATTGGTTCCGGAAACCGGTGCGTGTCGGATTTGTGATCGGTGCATCGCCCGATTTGTGGTCGGCAAGAGATTGGAATTTTGCTCCGGTTAGATAAGCTAATGTGCCCAAGTTCATAAACCATCGTAATTTGCGAACCTGTACAGCCGGCAGGAGCGCTTCAATGGCAGCTTCTCCTTCCTCTTCAATCATTTCCGGCAAAGCGCGCAGCGAGCCAAGCTTTTGCACCTCCTTTCCGCGCCTCAAATTGATTAAATTGATTCATTAAAAATTATTCCAATGCTAGAAAAGTTGTGGAGTTTCTGAGGGCCGGTTACAGTCCTTTCCCACCCTCCTGGAGGACGGTCAGTCTGCATGAAAGGGGTAATCCAATTATCCGGCCGTTCTCTTGTTCTCTAGCTCTTTCTCTCTCTCTCACTCTCTCTCGTTCTCTTTTTCATGTGCCGATTCCTCGCTACGTTCAAGGACGTAGTAAGCAAAAAGGTGATAAGATTTTCGTATCCCGCCCAGCTTGAAGACCCCCCAATTTGTGTGCCCATCTACCGTAAATTTGTTGCAATCTTCTGCAAGACAGTCTGTGCCCTCGTTCGGCATGTTCGCTGCGTCTCTTCAATCAGACTCTGTCGATTCTGGATCTCATTTTTGTGGAAGGCCAGCGGGGTCCCCGGACGTGTCATCAGATTCGATTAATAGTACCAATAAAATCTGAGGGTCAGTGGATGGTAGTGTAGTGGCGGTAGGAAATGTGATGGACCGCGGGGATAAGTCAAGTATTTTGTGTGTGTTTTGCCATGGCGGTATCACAGAGAGGACCCCATCCTCCTCAAACATTCGGGGCCCCTTCTCTTAAACCCTCAAATCATTGTTTTCATTTCTCCTTATCTTCTTAGATGCGGTGGGAACAGTAAAACTTCTTGAAGGCGAGCAGTCCGAATAATTGGTACAGAGGCAACAGTTTTATTAATGAAATTGATTTCTAAGCGTAAGCTACCTTTAATGTAATCCTAAATCCAAAGCATTTTGCTCAGGATCATGGTATGACGCCTAGCAGTATGAGGGACGTGCTATCTCGGCTATTGGTGCATCGTTAGCGCAGTGGGCTAGGATGCCGCGTTACACATCAGCTCAGCCGGGTTCGATCCCCGGCAATGCCTAATGGGAGCGATGATGAAGATAGAACTCTGCGTGAAAAACCAATGCGCGAAATTGAGTTCTGAGCCCCCTTTTAGACTTGCCACAGCTTCACCAATCAAAAAGAAACTCTCCTACTTACAAGGAGACGTTTTTGAGTGTCGCCGGGACTTTGGCACGTGACCAAGCCTATCTTGTGCAGAATTTTACGCTGATTCCGAATATGATAATCGTTTTTGCGGAATAGCCATTTCTCGAAAGTTATGAACGATTTAAACCTCAAAACAGCCCAAAATCGGCTACTTTCAATAGTCATAAAAGGCTTCAAAATAGGTTTTAGACAAAACCAGATAGCACATTTTGTTCAGAAAAAATTCTCTATAAAATGTGCTATCTTTTCCAAAATCATTGAAAAGCTGGAAAAATTTGATAAATTGGGAGGTCCAAAATTTTACAAAATTTTCAAAATTCCAACATTTTTGAGTTAAGTAGCTTATTTTATAGAGAATTTTTTCTGAACAAGATGCACTATCAAGTTTTGTCTAAAACCTATTCCGAAGCCTTTTATGACTATCGAAAGTAGCCGATTTTGGGCTGTTATGAGGTTTAAATCGTTCATAACTTTCGAGAAATGGCTATTCCGCAAAAACGGTTAACATATTCGGAATCAGCGTAAAATTCTGCACAAGATAGGCTTGGTCTCGTGCCAAAGTCCCGACGACACTCAAAAACGTCTCCTTGTTAGTTTGACAATAATTTTTTTTTAGAATATATCGGCCTAAAATTTGTGGTGGATATTGTTTTTGATCTGTCTGGCCTTTGGGAAAAATTTCAGAGATATCCGCCATTAGTACCCCCCTTAAATTAGCGCTGCCGTTCAGAATGCCGCAGCTTTGGCATGAAAGGCCTGGGTTCAATCCCCGGCAGTGTCCGAAAAGAGCGATGATGAATTGGAAATGTCTATACGAAGCACTAATGCGCGAAACTGTCTCTTCTGAGCACTTTTTTAGATTTTAATCGTGCCTATGAATTTTTGTTTTTAACCAGAAAAATATGTTTGTTTTCTGTACAGCCGTTTTCTCGGCCGTCACGCCAGTTTCCGGTTAATTTTTGGCATGGAGGTGGAGCTAAGTTGGGCTAAGCCTGAGTCTAGGCATAAGCCCAAACCTATGCCTATGCCTAAACGCGCTACACTCTTCCCTGCCGCCTATCATCAGTAAACCAACACCAATGACACGTGCGAGATGTGTGTCTGTGTGTTCGGTGTGATGGGGATTCGAGTGGACTGGGCAGAAGCGGTTGAGTGTGTGGCTTTCGACCTGGGTGGAATCAACATGATGGTTTCCTTGAACGGTCAGGGACCAGTAAAGGGCCGCGGCAAACCCATGATGAATCCACAACCCCAAAAAGGCAAGCTACTCACTCTAACTGGTTGATATGATGTTGCAGGGGGCTCAAATACGTCTCCTCCAGCTCGGCCTCGGCCTCCTCAGCAAGCTTCAGCAGCGCAGCCCTGCAGTATGGTAATAAGGTACTGTCTGGTGTGACGCACCAATCCATGCCGGATCCGGACCGAGTGACCTGTTGTTGATCTTTCTCGTCATCTTCATCGCTGTCCGGACTGTCGTCGTTCTGGAAATCAGTAGTGATGATGCATTGGGATTCTAATTTGGCGCTAATTTAGGGAAAAGGAGGAAAGGTAAGCTAGTTCCTACCGTATTACTCCTAGTCGCATCATCTTCGCCAGAAGAGGAAAGGCCGCTGTCGTCTTCTTCTTCAGTCATTCCCATCTATCAGTATTTTAGCCGGTTGTTCTTAAAAAAACGGCGAAATAGTGAGAGAGAGAGAGAGAGAGGGAGAGAGAGAGAGAGAAAGAGAGAAAGAGAGAAAGAGAAAGAGAGAGAGAGAGAGAGAGAGAGAGAGAGAGAGAGAGAGAGAGAGAAAGAGAGAAAGAGAGAAAGAGAGAAAGAGAGAGAGAGAGAGAGAGAGAGAGAGAGAAAACGAGGGTGAAAGGTAGATCGGACATCAGCAATTCTTAATAGAATTTTGTCATGATGGTATAAGACACTTTACTGATTAAATTTCGTTATGGTGCTTTAAAAATCGCATATTAAACCCAGATATACGAAATAGTGAAGCCCTGAAAAATAAGCGACCGAAGCCCCCGGAATTCCCCAGAAAACTTGAGCCGTGTTGACCGGAAACCCGGGGGTGATCTGAGAATAGGCCCCGGGGAGGAGGAAATCGATGGCTTTCAGGCTGGCCAAAGTTATGCTTGAAAAGGGCTAGAGACCCAGTGAGGGACAGACATAGAGAGAGAGAGAGAGCTATGGGTGAGAGAGAGCAACAGTTGTCCCCAGAGTCGTAGCCTCAGGGCTCGTCCTCCTCCCCCTCTCGGGGTGAAGCTCGAGTGGGTCCTGCTTGGCCCCTGATGGGCTCTGATGTGTTACAGCACGCATGTCCCAAGAAGAGAGAGAGAGAGAGAGAGAGAGAGAGAGAGATCGGCCGGGCATGACGACCGAACACCCCACAAGATGACCCTCTCCGCCCCGATCCACCGATCACGTGGAGGATCATCATTTCTGGAGTCCGGGAGCTTACGAAATCTACGCTCGAAGTTCGAACAATATATGGTGCTTTTCGTTGTTTGGGGTGGGAGCGGGGAAAAAAGAAATTGCGATCAGATAGAAAATGCCCATCAAGAGCATAAAATTTATCAAAAGTTTATTAGAAAAGTATAAAAAAGAAGGATACGCTGATATTGCAAAATCTGTTCAGATGTTTTTGTAATTTTCTAACAATCTCCTGCCCGGTTACGAAAAAATACTATAGAATACGCAACACCGTAGCTTCAATCGTGAACAGGCCAAAAAATCTATAAAATTCAATGAACAACTATAAAATGCAATTCGAATTTGACTCAAAACAATTCTCACATCTATGCGTCAAATTTCAGATGTCCCGGGGCTGAATAAATATCAAAAAGTTCGAGTGAATATTTGCCAAATGAATAATGGACAATGTCGAAATGGCAGACCGGCTAAGAGGATCGTAAAAAACCTAAAAAGACCCAACTTTCCTCCGGGGGCCAAGGGCATTGTAGAGGGCCCTTCTTGAGGGCCATTCGAGTCTGTTTGGGCAGAAAATCCTCCGATATGCTCTCCCCCATCGCTCTCTCTCTCGCTCTCTCTCCCTCTCTCTCACTCTGTCTCTCTCTCTCTCACTCTGTCTCTCTCTCTCTCTCTCTCTCTCCCTGGCAGCCAAAGTCCTGAACCTGTTGTCCCAGAAGTCTCGGCAAAATAGAGTAGTACTAACAGTAGTACTAATATTTTATAATGCTTCGTCGACTTGTCTGTCGGCTTCGGCCTAGGTTTATTCTTAGTTTTGAGCCTAAGCTTAGGCTTAGTCATCCCGACCGCAAAGCACATCGCAAAATCATACCAAATTACAGTCTAAAATTGGCTTTGATTTCAGGAATCATCCAAAAAAGTGCTAGATGGGAGAGGAGATCCCTTTCAAGAACCAAGAATCTTTACTTTTGGTTTTCGCAAAAAGAGACGAATTCTCGTGGCAACAAAAAGTGCTAAATTCCTTTCAAACTCTGAAAAATGCCATAAAATGCGCGATCAACAAAAAGTTGCTGGCTATTTAAAATTGTGTTAAACCTGGCACTGTCCCAGATATGTAAATTTTTACGACGAAAGCTGGTAGATCCTATCCTATAAGCGAGAAAAGTATGTGTGTTTTCTGTCCGGGCGGTTTCTCGGTCTTAAGGCCGAATTCCTGGCTGATTTTTTGCATGGAGGTGGGGAAACACATTCGCCAAAAACGGTTTTTTGGATTTTTCGAAATTCCTTAATTTAACGATTTTACAAGCAAAAAAGTTAAGAAGCCTTAATAAAAGGGGCGACGAGCCGCGTTGTACAGGTCATAACTCGAAGCCCTGATGGAATTTCGGGCTGTAATTTGTACAAATTATGTATTCGATAGTGGGGATCACGCGCATCTTATTATCTTCACAAATTTTCAAGCGGATTCAGACTCAAAAATGGAATTTTGTAAAGTGGCCAGATGACCTCCCGCCCGGGGAATTGGGTCTGCCCTTTCGTTGCATCGCCGCCCCTCCCCAGGATGAAAGAGGCCTTCCCGCCGCCCCTTTCCACGTGCCCCGTGGTGTAGTGGATTAGCGCACGGTCTACCACGCGCAAGGTCGCGAGTTCGGATTCTGGGTGAAATTACCCTTTTGCTTTTTGGTAATTCAGCAACGAAACATATTTCTAGACTCTCCGTGTGCGCGGTTTAGGCATGGCTCTCGCTCTGGCGCCGCAGGCCAAGGAAAAGGCCCTTCGCGAGGGCTCTCGCGCCGCAGGCCAGGGATGGGTCGTTGACCCAGGCTCTTGCGCCGCAGGCCAAAGAAAAGACCTTGACACATGCTCTCGCGCCGCAGGCTAAATTCGGAAAAAAGCAGTAGCTAGCGCCGCAGGCTCAAAGATTAGCGCAACGCTGGCTCTGGCGCCGCAGGCCAAAGAATGGTCTGAATCAGGTTCTTGCATCGCAGGCAAAATGAAGCGATTCAAATTCATGGTTCCTAGACGGGGTCCAGTGGAAAAGGGCCGCGAAGCGGACATTTTCCACTGGTAACAGATAATCTAGAGATTACTTTCAAGAAGGTGGAAATACACCATAATACAGGAATTATTTATTAGTAGGCCGAACGGCTAAAAACTAGAGCTGCCGGTTTTAATAAGGTACCAGCAACTTTTGGTTGATCCCACATTTTATGGCATTTTTCAGAGTTTGAAAGGAATTTAGCACTTTTTGTTGCCACGAGAATTCGTCTCTTTTGCGAAAACCAAAAGCCCCTTTTTAAAAAGACTCTTTTTAGCCTTAGAGAGAATTTAGCCCTTTTTGCCACAATCTTGTTGTTAAAATCCTAAAATAAGCCACGGTATAATTTATTCAGATGGACCCTTGTACCCAATACTTAAAAAAAATTTGCCTGCGGCGCTTTGGATCGGCAGTAGAAACCATAGGGCTGCAGTCGGGCCAATCGGCAAAATTGATGTTGCGGGTGGGGTTCGAACCCGGGAGCCAAATCTTCCCAGTACAGCGTGCTAACCACTAGGCCAACCGGGAGCCTGGAGGCCTGTCTTGGGGGGGAACTAGACCCGTCCCCCTTGCGGGGACTGGAGGCCGAGAAAGGGGAGGGTGGTGCCCCGTATGGCGAAGGTTTTAAAGTTATAATAACTCCAAGGAGAAGGATTCTTTCCACGCAATTTCTTCTTTACTTTATCCGACAAGGTCTAATGCATATTTGAGCAAAATTTCAGCCCAAACGGACATCACTAACCCTTGTTTTGGCCGCAATTTAGCTTTTAAACTTAAAAATTCAATAAAAATTTTTTTAAAGCCTATTTTCAAAAAAAAAGCTTCTTCCTCACCTTCATTTACATCAAGTCGATATATGTGGAAAATTTCAGCCCAAACGGACCATGGGAAGGCACTTTTTGACAGCTACATTGGTTTCCGTGCAGACAAACACACGCAGACCCCCCCCTCGAAACGCAATTTAAATCGGCTGTTAAAATTCGAAATTTCACTCTTTTTCAATTTTTAAAAGCTTATAGTATGTAAAAAGTGTCGCCGGTTTCGATGGTGTATTCAGTTTTGCGATCCGATGCCTGGTTCTTTTTTAAATCCGGAAAAGGACCCCAAAAGAGTCGTATGGGGGGGTACCTCAAACCAAAAGGGGTTAGCGGGCTACGCCCGGCTAACCCCGATTTACTATGGTTTGATGAGTGAGTGTAAAAAATGTTTGGAAATGAAAATGCGTCACAAAGAATTCGATTAGAGCTGACACGGATAAGTGGCCGATAGGAAAAGCCCGGAAATGAGCTGGCATATATCTATTTTAACGATCCCGGGGCATATCTTCCTCCTCCCGCCATCCCCTCCGCTGTTCCCCCTCCATTCTCATTCTTCTTTTGTAAACATTGGGCAGCAAGTGGGCGGTGGTGGACTCTATTTGCCAGCTGGTTTCTTTTCTCCCTCGCCAAGATATCGCTTGGAGGCTTTGTTTTTTTGTTTATCTCTCTCTTTCCTTCTTTCTTTCTCTCTCTCTCTCTCTCTCTCTCTCTCTCTCTCTCTATCTTGCTCTCTCTCTCTCTCTCTCTCTATTTCTCTCTTTCTCTTTCTTTCCCTCTCTTTCTCTCTTTCTCTCTTTCTTTCTCTCTCTCTCTCTCTATTTCTCTCTTTCTCTTTCTTTCCCTCTCTTTCTCTCTTTTCTCTCTCTCTCTCTCTCTCTCTCTCTCTCTCTCTCTCTCGCTCTCTCTCTTTCTTTCTCTCTCTCTCTTTCTCTCTCTCTCTCTCTCTCTCTCTCTCTCTCTCTATTTCTCTCTTTCTCTTTCTTTCCCTCTCTTTCTTTCTCTCTCTCTCTCGCTCTCTCTCTTTTCTCTCTCTCTCTCTCTCTCTCTCGCTCTCTCGCTCTCTTACAGTATATCTTTCATGCTGCTTTCAATCTTCTAAAAGATAAAAAGGAGGGCGATACCCAAAACTTCGCAACTTGGCAGTAGATGGCAGGGCGACGAGGGGCGCCCGTCGGTTAAAGGCCCTGGCAAGGTTAATTCGCACCACGCACTACGTCAAACACGTAAACGCACTAAATCAAGATTTTGCACCCGGATCTTCTGGATGGCGCCTCGGGGGTGTGGGTATTTGTGCAAAACCAAAAAATGGGATGAAGCATCAGCGGGCGGGGTGGAAGTGGGGAAGTTTGTTTGACGGCCCCCGGGCCCACATCACCCAAATGGACCGAAAAATGAGAAGGAGAAAAGAAGAGGAGAAGCCGAAGACGAAAGGGAGCAAAGGGATATGGCTGCAAAGAACCCGCCGTTCCCGACTATAAATCTCCAGCCAGCAAGTCGGCGCGTCGAAGGCAAACTCCACACTTCGGGGGCGCAGATTTTAAAGGGAACGGCAAGGGAAATAGTGGGATGAAGTGAATACACAGATTTGGTAGGCTTAAACGCGAAACTGAAGAATTACAGCCGTAAACTTGAAAGCCAAAACACCGACAGCCAAAATTTCGACAACCATAATCCAGATCCATTCCGACCCCTACAAGCGGACATTTTCTTGACGCTGGTTTGGCTGTCCGGATTCTGGTTGTATGGATTTTTGGCGCTTTACCCCCCATCCAAAAATATAACCTCCTTAAACTGTAAAAATGTATCTTCTGATAAAATGGAGATTATGTTTAAAAATCTATGAAAAATGAGCAAAAAGGGCAAAACATTAAAAACGCTAAAAACATACGCCGCAAAAACGCCAATGCAGTGATTTGCATGAAGGCTGGAATTCAAAATGTTGTAATTTGAATCCGACCCAAGCTACAAAAAGAATTCAGAATGCCATAACCCCATCATTTTTATTCCCCCGCACGCCTTATTCTGTGGCTTTCAAAAGTTGGGGTTTTCGGGTTGCAATTGTCTTTTCTTTTTCAGGAAAGTAGTAAAAAACTATGAGTGCATTCCTCTTCCAATGCCTGCCCGTGTTCGTCTCGATTGTAGGATCATCTCCCGGGACTGCCTTTTGACTTCAAGAGGATTTTTTAGACTTGGGTGGTGTTGGGCGGATCGTTGTGTGCGAAGAAAGGTATCCCAAAGAGTGCCCGCTCTTCATCATCATCCAAAAAGACCGCATCCTCGCAGTCGATCAAGGTGAATTTGATGACGTAAACGATTAAACCTACGATTATTACAGACGCCGGGGAGTACGAGCGGTCGTCAAGCCGTTCCACGGGCTGTCAGCCCGGATCGGCGCCTAGTCCAGCAGAACAAGAACGATGAGAAACACGCGACGAGGGGATCTCGCGGTCGGTATTCCGCACAAATGGTCTTTGCTAGCACGACTGTTGTGGAGCCTTTGAATTCTCTTAGCTTGCATATTGTAGAATTGGCGCCGGCGAAGGTGGGCTCAAAAGGAGACGAGCCAGCAGAAGAACACTCACCCAACAGCCATCCCTATCGAGGCACAGAAGAAGACATCCGTCATCGAGAAGGCACCCGAAGTGGTCGTGATCCCGAAAAAGGGGCCGAAAAAGCAGGACTCGATCAAGGAGTACGGTTGCCATTTTCAGACTAACTCTTTACATTCCTTCAGAAAGACGGCCCCGCCTCCGAAGTCGATCATCGAGGCGAGGACGGCCAAGCCGATCGAGATACAAAAGCAGGAGAAGCCTCAGCCAAAGCCGCAGCCAAAACAACCAGCCAAGCAACAACCACCAGACGTCAAGAATCTGAACTTGCCGAGGAACAAGATGGTTTGTCGACTTTTCGAAAGCAGCGCATCTTTTTTTGGTACTGATATGTTAGCAGGGGGGTAGCAGGGGGGAACTAATTTATAACTACTATCTACAATAATAGTGAATTTTGATAAGGGTTTTTCTAGTTTGTTCCTAGCTTGTTTACCTGCTTCGATTTATCAAAATATTTTAAAATTTGCGGGTTTTTCAAGTAACAGTAACAGTAGAGTTTGAGTTTCAAGTTTTTTGCTTGTTCGTTGTATCCACAAACTGCGTAAGATCGGTAAGAGTTTACTTTACCCCCCACAGCCGAAGGGTCTCAAAGTTGTCGGTATTTTCGCTTATTTGGTCGGGATTTTTGCAACGCCATTCGATAGAGCGTCGAAAAATATACTAAGAGTTTTAATTTAAGCCTACAATAATGTAAAATAAAAAAAGTTATAGTCAAAAACTTCCGGCTGGGGGTAAAGCAAACCGTAGCCGTAAAATCCTACAAAAATGGCTTATATATTTTGCTACGGGGCCGTATAGGATGACTGGGGAAAATTACCTGCCCCCTCCCCTGCAAACAGTCCAGTACCCTTTTTCTAGCAAGCGATCATCGACGGAATGAAGCACGATGAAGAGGCCTATCCGACAATGTCTGATGTGATGAGTGATTGGCAGGAGAAGGAAGGGGTACGGTAGTATGAAGGCAACGGATAGCTGCCCGACATTCTAGAAGCCGGGTGATAAGCAGCCGGCGAAGCGGCCCGAACCAGCCGTCGACAAGGTTGTCAAGAATACGGAGAAGGAGGTCGGCAATGTCTATATCTCTAGCTTTAGACAGCTTAACCTAAGCAACCCATTTCAGAAAGAAATCCAAGCCGGCACCCGTCACGACCAGGCCGCCTACCCGACGATGGATGATGTGAGATCGGATTGGAATGAAGCCCCCGCTGCCGATACCTCGACGGCCCCGCCACCCAACAACGGCGAGAAGAACAAAGATGAAAGCGCTAGCACCGTAATGCCTTACCATCAAACTACCGTATCCCCCCCACTTTCAGAAACACGACCCGGATACGGTGAAGGATTCGTTGTGCCTGAATCGTGAAGACGTCCTCAAGCAGGTTCTCAAGGAAAAGGTATGCTGATACGCAGAGAAGTTGAGAGACTGGTAATTTCCAGGAGGAGGCCGGGCTGAACGAACATCCCAGTGGGATCAGCAATCTCGACATGTCGGCCGTCTAGAAGAGGCGATACTCGTCTGGGATATCTCCATCTCCACGAATATACCATGTCCTTATTTGTATTGTGCCTTGAATAAACTTGGCAAGGATGCGAGAGAGAGAGAGAGAGAGCGAGAGAGAGAGAGAGAGGGAGTGAGATAGTGCGAAAGAGTGAGAGAGGTAGTGAGAGGGCACGAGAGAAGAAGAGAGTAATGGAGCTTCATTCCGGAACTTTACGGGAGCGATCGATACCTCAGTGATTTTCCGAAACCGAATCAAAGGATTACATGAAAAATACCGAATATACGCCTTTTTCTTGCCAAAATTTAACAATCCATCCCCAGTTGTCGTTTTACCGTTTGACGCACGATGGTCCAAAACTGGACAAAAAACGCCTAGAACCGCGGGCTCGACAAAGTGATCGTGTAAATGTGGCGGGCATCTGTTTGCATTCGCCTTTCATCTACTCGGCAAATAGTAAAGAGGCATGTCCTGTACTGATCTCTACAGTTTTCATTTGCCACGGGTTCGGCGCGCCTTTTTGTGGTTTTCACCGATTTCGCTGGAACACAGGTGTGCGCTAGAAAATTCCGCCAAATTAGGTGGCGCCTGTCCATGGGATTGCACTGGTACAGCTTGTGAAAATTGATTTTTTTTAGTTATGAGAGGTCCAGGAATAAAAACCAGCCCTTTTTTCGACTTTCGGTTAAGACCCTCAAGCTTTGTGAGGTTTAGGCGGGCCTAAGCTGTGGCTGAACCCCAGGCTTATTTTAACGTATTATTTTTGTCTTCTGAAGGGAATAGCTGCCTCATCCTGTCAAACATAACCCCTGAACGACGAGGTATCATTGGGGGACCGACTGGTGGCATGTTGCCATGTGACCTATTCTCGTCCAGCTGTCCTCCTCCTCCCCCTTTTGGCCAGCTGCCAAAAAGGCCCTCTTTCCGCCTCTTTCTTCCTTCCTCTTTCTTCGCTTTTTTGACCCCCAATTGCCACCAACAAACCGCAAAACGCGACACAACAAGAGACACCCGAAATCGGAGCCATCCTGGGCTCACCGGGCTTGAAATTCACACTTTTTTTAGCTTTTTGGACAAAAGCGCTTGGAGGGTGATGCTCAGGCATCGTCGTAAGCAGGCTTGCTTTTAGAGTTATGCCTAAGCTTAAGGTTCAGCTAATTGTAAGCTTAATACAGGGTGTCCCAAAACCCCCCCCCCTAGCCGGCCGCAGACCTGTCCGATTTTTACGATTTAGATATCTATCGAAAGCTCGCGAAAAGGCGAGTCTAGCACGACTTGCCGATTTGCGAAACGTCGGAATTTTTTGCTCGATTTTCGGCACTTTTCATGCAAAAAAGACACGCTTTTTGTCTAAAAAGCAGTTTAACCGGTTTTAGGCCCCATCCAAGCTGTGTTTTCTCAACCGGCTTTCAAAAGGCTGCCTACAGGCTGCCAGGGAAGGCGTAAAAATTTTTAAATTGCGATTTTTGTAAAAAAACCCCTTGGTCAGAAAAACATCAGAAAATCCGTCCTCTTCGCAAAAAGATTAGTAAATGATAGAAAAATTCCGACATTTCGCAAATCGGCGAGTCGTGCTCGACTCGCCTTTCCGAGAGCTTTCGAAAGATACCTAAATCGTAAAAATCGGATAGGTCTACGGCCGGCTAGGGGGGGGGGGATTTTTTTGGGACACCCTGTATATTTTAACGCCATTGCAGCTTAAAATATTCGTTTTCTGCCATTTTCTTGGATCTTTGCGGCTTGAAAGGAGCACCAGGGTCCGAATTCTGATGAGCATCTTCAAAAATTTACATTTCATTGGTTTACTCGATATTTCATGTTATTTTTGCCCCTTTAGCGAAACGATGCTTTCGGGCGAACTGCTCGAAGATGTCTACAGATACACAGCCGTGTATCGATATCTCGAGGAGCGGGACTGCCTGCAAGAGCTGTGAGTGTTTCAAGGGAATGCAAATACTACTGAAGAACTAGAGGTTGGGTTCGTACACGCCATGTAATTAGGGGTTGGCACAGCCCTTTTAAAGCGGCTGCAGGGCACTCGAGGATTTTCCTTACCACTTTTCTTCGCCCATGCGATAAGGGGAATCCAAATGTCAACAGAAATCCGACCCGAAGCCGAATGCTTCGAATGATTTCGGCTACAGCTTTCCTCTTTCGACGTAACGGTTTTTTTTGGATTAATGCTCCCGACAAAATCTACAACCTTCACGCTTCCATCGCCCTTTAGAACGGCTTGGTAAGAGTTTACTTTACCCGACCCCCACAGCCGAAGGGTCTCAAAATTTTCGGTATTTTCGCTTATTTTGTCGGGATTTTTGCAACGCCATTCGATAGAGCGTCGAAAAATATACTAAGAGTTTTAATTTGAGCCTACAACAATGTAAAATAAAAAAGTTATAGCCAAAAACTGCCGGCTAGGGGGGGGGGGGGTAAAGTAAGCCGTAGCCAACGGCTTTTCTGGTGCTTTTGCGTGTACGGCCCTCTTTTTTTGGGATGTTGTTTACGTGAGGCACCCCGTATTTTCGTAACTCGTCTGCTCCTCTCACATTCAAATGCTCTCTCTCTCTCTCCCTCCTGGCTGCCCCATGCGGCCCATTTTTCTGCAGACCTTGGGCCCCAGCCAACAAACAACATCTACAACCATCGATTTACATTCCAAATTTTCTCCACCCCTTCCAAAATCGTTGCCTTTTGTCGAACCCCGAATTTCATGCTTGTTTAGAATGACGAAGCTAACGTGGGAACAGTTTTGCGCTCGGCAAAATTGCGGTAAGTCCAGCGAATACTTAATGAAAGTATACAAAAAAGGAGTAAACACTAGTTTTCCATTCCGTAATGCGACGATTCTTTAAAAAAACTTTGCCCCCTAGGTTTTGAATGCAATTTCTCCTTTGGAAATCTGGCATACCTTGGCGAAACGTCAATTTTTTCCTGAATTATTTTCTTTTTAGACCTGACCCAAAAAATTCTGCGCATCGGCGTGCCGGTGGGGATCATCGGGGTGGCGGCGTTCGTCTGCTATTGCGCATGGAAGAAGTCGAAACGAGAGGTAGCAGGATTCTGCTTTTATATTGGGGACCTAGGCGTCACAATCACAATAACTGTTTAAAAATGTAATAAAATGTTGAGGTTTATGAATTTTCGTCGAAAATCGGCAATTGCGGGCGGGAAAAGCTATATGATCAAAAACAAAAGATCGAAAAAATCGATCGATAAAGTTTTACTAAAAAAAGTTTATAGAGCTAGTTAGAAATATTAAGAATATTAAGGATCTTTTCTTTAAAAAAAATTTATTTAGGAAGAATCTTTCGACGAACCTCCGATTCCGAAGATCCCGGTCGATACAACCGGAACTGCCAAAGAAAGGGTGATTCGAGCGATGAATCGGTTGAATAAGGACATTGTGCAGTTGAATACGCTGATTGGGAGGTCTGATCCTCTGCTTTTAAAGGCTTCCACACCCACTTTTCGTGCTGTACACACTACGCTTTAGTTGCGAACTGGAAATTCTGGCCGACGAGACGGTGGATCGCACAAAAACGGCAAGGGTTGTACGGCGGAAGGAAGCGGCGCAACGTCAATTGTATACAAAGGAACATCATCGAAAGAACCTTGTCGTCATGTTGGATGCACTAGTGAGACATTTCAAGGTTTAGGAAAATCGGAAAGTCAAATTTTAGCTGCATAGCGAGGTGGAGTCGATGAATGAGGCGTTGACAAATCTGCGGCCAATCTCGCCCTCAAGGAGTAATGGAACGGAGCGAAGGAATGGATCGGCGAATCATCGGCAAGAAGATGCGGAAGAAAGGAGAAGAAGGGATGACGAGCTGAGGGCCGAACTTGCCGAACTCCTCGGGGAGGAGAGCCGGAAGAATTTTGAGGAATCGAAGAAGGAGCTTTAAAAGGAGAGCGAACGCTGTTAGCCGGCATGTAGATATTGTCCCTTCAGTTTCCCCCAGATCCTAATTCGAATTTATGCTGCACAGATTCTCTCGTTAAACTTTAAGTTGTCGGCTAGTGTTTTTGCCTTCTCCATCTCTCGTTAATTTGCTTCTCTCTGCTCTGCTGTCCGATTTTTTAACCCCTTCAATGAACCCCTTGAAAATGGCCAAATTCACTATCGCGTGAATTCAACCATTTTTAACGTTTCAGTGATCTCCCTAATAACCCGGCATTTTACGATACATTTTTGATGCAAAACCTTATTCGACGCGAATAAATATGTATGAAAAACTCTGCATAAAATGGAGAGAAAAAACGAGAAAACGGGCAGCACACTCGGGATGGGTTGGCGACAATTTTCAGGGGCTAGGAATGTGATTAGGGGCCGAACGGAAAGTCATTCGAGCCTGGTGACTAATTTGAATCGGGTATTTGGCAAGGCGGCAGAGATGATGGGGGAATTGGTGGATATTTTTAGGGTTCGTAGGTTGCTTTAAAGGGATGGACAAGGCATGACTATATGCGAGGGATCCAGAAGATCATAACCATAGACCTCCCCTGCCCAACCCCTTAAAATCTAGAGGCACAGAGATCAGCAATATAAAAGGTGTAAACATTCACAAATGGACAACCCTGGTCGCCTTAGATTTTGGAGGGAGCGAATACGGTACGGCAGGCATCGTATGTTGAGCTGAGGCGATAAGAAAGTGAGAATTCGAAAAAGAAGGAATTTAGGCAAAATTCAAAAAGACAAACTACAACATATGGAATCAAGGTACCAGGAAGGCTGAAATTAAATTCCCTGTTTTTCGAAAAGCGCAAGCACCACGGTGAATGCTTCCTGGTACCTCTCAAAATAATTTTCCCTATTCTTACGCCTCAAGGAGGAGACTAGTCACATTAAAAAGTGCCCTTTTTTGGCGCCACTCGATCCTTGGGTCATAGTCGTCCGGTAGGTCGCCGCGATCGGGAATGCTGTTGTCGTCTGGAATGAATACGGTAGCTTAGGGTGGGACAATTTTTAGCGAACCATTGGCCTAATGTGCCGAAAAGTGATAATGTGTAGAAAAATAACTTAATTTCTACCGTGATAGTGGTTCGGACTCTAATCTTGCGTTGCTCTCATTTGTTTTCTGGACTTACCGCGGCTTTTTCATATCTTGATTTTTCACGATTTTTGATTTATCTTCTTCTAGATGTTAGGTTAGACAAGGGTCGTAAGTGAGTTCGCAGTTTTGGTAATTTTTGCCACCTTTAAAGGTTGTTACCTCTAATCTCGACTTGACAGGTGGGCCCTAGGTATCCGGGGGCACAATGACATCGGCCCGTCCGTCGATCGCATGAGGCTCCGTTATAGCATTGGCATTTATGCTCACAATCTTCACCGTAACGTCCGGCTCGACAGTCTGTAATGTGGATAATGTACGGTAGGATGGAGAGAGAGAGACAGAGAGAGAGAGAGAGAGAAAGGGAGAGAGAGTGTCACAGAGAGCGAGAGCCAGAGAGAGAGAGAGAGAGAGAGAGAGAGAGAGAGAGAGAAAGGGAGAGCGAGAGAATACGAGAGAGAGCGAGAGCCAGAGAGAGAGAGAGAAAGGGAGAGAGTGAGCCAAAGAGAGCGTGCGCCTGAGAGAGAGGGTTAGAGAGAAAGGGAGAGCAAGAGAATACGAGTGAGAGCGAGGGCCAGAGAGAGGGGAGAGAGAGAGAGCGAGAACGAGAGAGATAGAGAGAGAGAGATCTACCCTAAGAAAAGTGTGAGCTATTGTGAAAGATATCTAGGAAAAGGAGCGCCTATTTTCAAAGCCAAAATCTCCTGAACTCGTATTTGATAATGTCGAATTTTTCGATTTCGACCCACTCTGTTCACATTTCGGACCCATCTTCCCGGGTGGACAATCACACGTGCCATCATGTGGCCGACACCCAAAAGCCCCGCAATCACAATTCAATCGACAACCCGGCCCATACGTGTTGTTCTGGCACGACATCTCGCACTGAAAATATGTGAATATTGCACTAGCTAGCCCTGAACGCACGTGGTCTCCAATATATCCGGGTGGACACAAACATCTTCCATCGCCCGGGTCACATGTTGCCCCATTGTGACAATGGCAAGCCTGTGAGCAATACCATCCGAAGAAACCCGCCGGGCATACTAAAATGATGTATTAAATATGGAAATGTCAGATAATATACGAAAAATTTGGTAGTAGAAGTAGTGTTTGGCTGTCGATGTTTCGGCTTGCCGGGTATTTTTGGCAGATGAGTTTTTGCTTTTTGGGTTTTGATTGTCAGGATTTTGGCCGGGTATACAATATTTTCGCATGTGGGGACTTTTGTCATGCCGGCATTTGTCTGTCGGGTTTCTCAATGCTGATTTTTTGGCGTTTCACGGCCGTTCCGTCAACAACTCACCAAACTGACAACGCGTCCCGTAGCGGCCGGGCGGACAGTCGCAACATCCCTGTACCGGATCACATCTGAATTCGCGTTAATTGTATCGGCACGTACTGCCCATCCCCATACCTCGCATCCCCATGACACTCACAATCCAGCGAGCAGTTCATCCCGTACTTCCCGGCCGAACATGTCTGCTCGCAGTTCGGGCCCGTGTAGCCAAGGTTGCATCTACAGATTTCAACCGGGTTTATAACTTTAATAATTTGCAAACCTGCAAGTGCCCGTAGCCGGATCGCAGTGGGCCCCATTGGCACATTTGCACTTTTCTTTGCAACCCGCACCAAAACGGCCTTGAGGGCAAACTGAAAATAGGGGTTGACAGTCTGAGACAGGGTATTTTGAGACGAAAGTCTGCTAATTTCACAGGTTTACAGTTTTGCGTGGCACTTCCCTTCCCAATTCCACTTCCCTAATAAACCCACTCTGTTCACAGGCCATCCCCGTAAATCCTGGCGCGCATTTGCATTGGCCATTCGCCCGATCGCAGGTACCGCCATTCTCACATCGACATTCCTTCTCACAACTGAAAACCAGTGGCTACAACACCAGATCAACCGGAATTACCTATCCCCATATCGATTGGATGGACATTCCACCTCACACCGTGTCCCAATAAATCCCGGAGCACACTTACAGCCACCGCTCACCGGGTCGCAAACCCCTGAAATCGAGGATTAGAATTCTCAGATGGTCCTTTAGCGGGGTGGGGGGGGCAGGTGGACAAACTTTCTTTGTTTAGCCTATTATCTTGCAAAAACCCCACATTTTTTTATTTTTCTAGTTTTAGAATTTTTTGATCGCGACAAATTTGTTAAAAATTTTTAATTATTGAAAACTGCTCATCTAAAATAGAGTTTTTACGAAAAATCAACGTTGTTGAACTTCCGCTGTCTAAATAGGCGGAAGCTGCATTGAATAAGTTCAGATTTAATTATTATGCGTCCACGGAACCTAGGCGAATGTAGTACCCAGCCTAACGAACCAGGAAAGTTTTGCGGAATTCGCAAAAATTAAGTTTACCTCCATTCTGGCATTGGCAAGTCTGTTCGCAGTCTACACCAAACCGTCCGGCCACGCAGCCCTCCTTGCAGTCGTCGCCAGAATGCCCAGGTCGGCAATGGCATCTACCGCTCAGGGGATCACACACTTCATTGTCTCCACATGTACAGTTGTGACGACACGTCTCGCCGTAGGTTCCTTCAGGACATAGCTGAAAATCGCAAATGAAGGAACGTATTTAGCGAATTGTCGGAAAGAAACGGATTCAGTTTGGGCTTAGGCTTATGCATAGGTTTCACTTGGCTTTAACGTTAGCCTGAGGCTGAGGTATTGCATAGGCGCACACATCGCTACAAGACATACCTCAGTACAACTGTGCCCTGTAAATCCCTTCGGACATTGGCATCTACCCGTGATATGATCACACGGACGGCCATTCGAGCATTTACAAGCCTGGGAACACATCCGCCCGTAGTAGCCCTTCAGGCAGGCTGAAATTTTGATATAATCTTTCTAGGGTTTGAGTCTTTAAGTCTTTTTATCTTCAGCTCCCAATTTTATGAAATAGCAGTAATTTTATAGTAGCGTTACGTTGGCTAGAACACAAACACGATGTAACCTCAACCACAGGGTCTTGGGGATCGTGACGTTCAACGCACTCAAGAGAGGTGTGTTTCAGAAAAATGAATGCTTTCGTGGTATCCACCGATTTTATAAAATTGGGAGCCGCTGTTTCTTAAGCCGAAAACTTACGTCGCTGGCATTTTCTGCCTCTCCAGCCGGGTGCGCAGCTGCAATGTCCACTGATCGGGTCGCACGAGGCCCCATTTTCGCATTGGCACACCTTAAGGGGATCGTGAGACATCTTCACATATATGCGAGCATTTTCTAATTGCGACGTGTAATTTTCTGAGCTCTTAACTCCTTGACGCCTTTAAAAAAAACAGGATTTGCTTATGTGCAAACTGACCTCCTCGCATTTCAACCCGTGCAAACCGGAAGAGCAGGGCACCTCGCATCTAGGCCCAACATTTCTAGCGATAAAACCCAGGATACCTCTCGCCCTGCCAACCTGGCAAACAGCTACACTGTCCACTCGTCCGGTTGCAGCTTGCCCCATTTAGACAGTCGCACTTCTTCGAGCAGGCCGGTCCGTATTGACCGAACGGGCACACTGAAAACGATTCATGTCATTCCATTTCATTGGCCAAATTTTTCCCATGATGCCATTTCGCAATTGGCTTGCCACGGTACCCCCCCCCCCCCGCTAAGAGTCCAGTACCCTAAAAACCCTATTTTTGAGCCTAATGATCATAAACTTATCGTCGGCATCTTTGTCGTCAAATAAACTCACAGAACTCGCAGGCGGGCCCGGTGAACCCATCCTGGCATCGACATTTCCCGGTTTTCGAGTCACAACCCTCGCTGTTCATGCACAGGCAATGGTTGATGCAGTTCGGACCGAATAGACCGGATGGACACTCTAGAATGCTTGTATTTCAGTTATTGACACCATCAACCTACCCGTCTCACAGTTCTTTCCCATGTAGCCGGTGGGGCAGTCGCAGTATCCGGTCACTCGATCGCAGCTTGCTCCATTCGAGCATTTGCATTCAGCCTGAATTTTAGGGGTTGTTCTAAAGGGACGGGCAAGGCAAGGTGACTTTGAATTTAAATATTATGGATTGTCCCGACAGGCGATGTAATCCGCTTCGTAATGCTGCAGACTAGGCTTAAGCTTAGACTTAGGCTTATCTACTGGAAAACCGGATGTGCGTTACGTGACGCGACACGACAAAACATTTAAGGATTTTGAGTAAATAAAATCGTAATCCACTTAAACGAGGTAGATCCTACTAATCCCTACCTTGCAGCCTGGTCCCCATCTCCCTGACGGGCATGGTGTTGAACAGTCGGGCCCGGCCCATCCACCGGCACACCGGCATTCCCCGGTCACAGGGTCGCAGCGGGCCGAGAACGGGTTGTACAGCTCGGTGTCATCTGCAACATTTTGAGCCTTGGATTATAGTGCCTTCAGGATACGGTGAACGGCTTCGAAACGTTTCCTAGTCAGGAAGCGCAACTATGCGATACTTTTGATGGCTTAATGCCCAAAAATGTTATTGATAGATTACATCTCTGTAATGCCAACTTACTGCTAGTTGAACAATCGCATATCTGACGGCAATCAGCCCCAAAGTGGCCGTCGGAGCATGGTCTTTCACACTTCTTGCCCCGCCATCCTGGTTTGCACTTGCAGCCTCCTAAGTCCGGGTTTACACAAGTGTAGGTTTAGCTTGGGTTTGTGTTACTTCATTTTAAATACCTACCAGTGATCGGATCGCATTTCCCGTCATTTTGGCACGAGCAGTTGCCCTTACAGCCCGCTCCAAACGTGCCGACCGCGCAGGATTCTAGAATTTTAGTTTTTTAAACAAACTCCTTAGAATTATTTTTTAAATTTTTGGACAGGTAGGGTAATCCAAAAATCAAAAAAATGTAATTCGTTTAAAGTGTATACCCGCACAGTCCTGGCCCCTCTTCCCTGGCGGACAAATGCACTCCCCATCCACCGGATCGCAAGTCATATGTCCCGCGCATTCGCATTGCTGCAAAATAAATATTTTGCTATAGTCTTCAAGTTCAAGGGCTTTATATCGCAGCTCCAATCTCGCGCCAACCTTTGCACAATTGTCTCCATAGGTTCCACGCGGGCAGCCGACTTCGCAGCGTTTTCCCGTGTAGCCGAGTTGGCATGTGCAGCTGAAAGGGATTTGTATAGATTTGCTGTCAAAATGTCGAATTTCATAATGTCCAAGTTTTGATAATTAAAAACTCTCATAATGCCGGAATTTCATCACCTCAAAATTTTTTGGCAAAGTCTTTGGGAGGCTTTCCGTGAGATTTGTTCGTGGTAAAATTTTGAAAAAAAGTTAAAGTGACCAAAAGCTTTAACCCCTTTCCACCGACCTTCCATCAATGACACTACACGCGGCTCCATTGTGACAGTCGCACAGATGCATGCATTCCGTCCCGTAACGCCCGGCTGGACAAACTAAAAGAACAGGTTATGGCTACTTTTCGAAGTGCACCTTCCGAGCAAGTCGCTCCATAGTATCCGGGTGGACATTGGCAAGTCCCGTCTTTTGCGTCGCACGCCTAGAACTCTTAATTTTAAGCTAAATCGAGCAGTTTACCGCTCCATGTCTGCACTGGCATTCCGAGGCGCAATTCGGCCCGTACAGTCCTGGTGGACAATCTAAAAAAGTTGAAATTTTGGTCAACGTGTCTGACATGTAAGGTTAACATTATATGACGTAATACTCCATCACATACTACCGCACTCCAATTAACAGTGCATATATACCATCAAACTATAGCGATACTCACTAGTATCACAGTGCTCTCCGGTCAACCCTGCCGGACATGTGCAGCTGCCGGTGATGTGGTGACAGACTTTCGGTTGATCGTCGGCGCATCCACATTTCCCCTCGCAACGCGGGCCGAAGCGACCCGGCGGGCAGGCTGCAGCCAATAAATAATGACTAACACTTTGTGCCTTTTTGAACTTAGAACGTGTAGTTATCGCTACGCTCCTACTCCCTTTTTGAGTACCCTTCCATTTCCTGGCTGCCTAGGTTCCTTTAGAAAATATCGGAAAGAGGGTGAAAAGAAAATGAGAAACGGCGGCCAAAAACAGCTGACGGATGGGTGTGATAAAACGTAGTAAGATTACAACAATGAACGAATGGCCGATATCCTTTCCTCGGTGGAAAAAGACCCTGCCAACGCATCCAAAATTCATTCAACTACGCGATGCGACAACGTACGCTGCTGACAGTCGGTTCCGGTGTACCCAGCCGGGCATTCCGGGGAGCAGTCACCGGTTGAAGGGTCGCAGCGAGTGCCGGAGGGGCAAGAGCACTTCTTCGAACACTGAAATATGAAGCTCATGAGAGAAAAGGTATTACAGGGAGGGTGAAGGCTTAAAAATTCTCCATACCAAAGGTCCATAGAATCCAAATGGGCACGGGCGTTTGCAGAATGGTCCGTAAAAACCGGGCTTGCATTTGCATTTTCCTGTCTGAAAGACTTGGTTTTCCCGGGGCATTTTCAGCGTCAAAAACCAGATGTTGAACAAAATATCCAATCCGGAAGTCATAATGAGAAGCGCTCTCCCTGGGCAATTTCAGAACAAAATCGGCGTCGAATTTGCTGGAATGGGCCGGGGAGCGAGCAAAATAGGACAAGATGTTTCACTCGCTTTCTCTACACTCTCTCGCTTTCTGGCGCGGGAGAGCTCAACTCGTTTCCCCCTTCCTTAAAGGGGCTACGAAATGCCAAAAATTGAGTGACAGCCCGAAAATCGGAGCCCTGTACGTCGGAGGCCTCTGTACGCCCAGGGGCCGGGAAGCTCGCAAATTCGAAATTGCCTGTTGTCATCTCGAAATCACGTTCTCGGCTGTTTCTGGGCCAAATTTGATGATTAAAACACCAAAACTATATAAAATTAAGTGAGGATTTCAAAAATGGGCTCAGAATGCGCAAATTATAGTGTTTTCACAAAGAAACCGGGCAAAAACAGCTTCGCGCAAAAATCGAAAGAGTGAGGGCTCTTATCCCGCAGCGCCCGCTGGCAATTTGCCAGAAATCAAAGAGCCCTCCCAAAAGGGCTTTGATTTGGCAGTTCGGAGCCCCTTTAAATCCCGAACTCACGTACCTTTGCGTCGCACGACTGCGTATTCTCGCGTACACAGCGACACGAGTGACGGCAATTTGTGCCGAATGCAAAGCCCGGGCACGGCCGATCACAATTCGGGCCGTAGCTGAATAAATACGATTTTAATTAATTTCTTGAGACATATATTCATTTATTTTTCAAGTTATTTTTGGTTTACAGCGGACCTGCCAGGGGCGCACGGACAGTCACCAAAAACGGGATCACAGCCACCGGTTGGACACTCAGCTCGGCATGGCAGGTTACAATGCGGACCGTAGAGGCCTAAGGAGGTTAAATGTAAGCCTTTAGCCTTGGCTTAAGGTTAGGATAAGGATAAAACGTACCGCGCTTGCATGGGCTTTTGACACAGTCTCCAGAAGTACAAGTGCAGGCGCCCGTCACCGGATCACAGGCCGAACCCTCACAGCCGCAAATATTGTTGCAGCCGAGACCTGGAATTTGGGTGGTAGCGTTGGGTCAGTTTTGAAGAGAAGGGCAAGCTTTGACATTGCTTTTCTATGAATTTGGCTTTCAAACGAAGAATATCTCGTAACGAATTTCGTAGTTTAAAGATGGTCGACGTGTCGCGAACACCGCCAAATTAATGGGAAAACCCATCGCCAGCCATTCAGCCGTAAATCTCCAGCTACGCATTAGCCGTCCCTTAAAGGGGCTCCGAACTGCCAAATCAAAGCCCTTTTGGGAGGCCTCTTTGATCTCTGGCAAATTGCCAGCGGGCGCCGCGGGACGAGAGCCCTCACTCTTTCGATTTTTGCGCAAAGTTGTTTTTGCCCGGTTTCTTGGTTAAAACACTATAATTCGCGCATTCTGAGCCCATTTTTGAAACCCTCACTTAATTTTAAATAGTTTTGATGTTTAAAGCATTAAATTTGGCCCAGAAACAGCCGAGAACGTGATTTCGAGATGACAACAGGCAATTTCGAATTTGCGAGCTTCCCGGGCCCCTGGGTGTACAGAGGCCTCCGACGTACAGGGCTCCGATTTTCGGGCCGTCATTCAATTTTTGGCATTTCGTAGCCCCTTTAAATATACTTTTTCTGCGTTTGTCATTTGTTGTATACTATTTTTCCTCTTGTCGATTCCTTTCTCTAACATACCCCATGTCCCTTCTTGGCATAAATCCTCGCACGTCGTCCCCATATATCCGGGAGCACACTCACAAGCCGGGTGACTGTCGTGACAACTGGCTGAACAGTTACTTTTTTCAGATTCAAAAATCCCGCAACACACCTCCATTCCGGCAGTCCAAACAGGAATACTGGCAGCTCGGGCCAAAGTGCCCATTCTCGCATTCTGAAATTTAGGTTTGCCAAGGGACATTTTTTGGCTACTGGTGGATAAATTGGGTAAAACTGTGCTTCTAAAAATTATATTAAAGTATTTCGGCACTCTTTAGAACGAAAATCACTGAAAACGGCAAGCACAGGTAAAGCAACAAGAAGCAAAATTCTAAAGGTCGGAAATGTTAGCACGGATGACCTCGTCGACGTCGCGTCATCCGCTGAAATCCCTCCGGCTCTACGCTATATAGAGACTGGTCCATTTCGAGGCTGTCAACGAGATTGTCAAGGTCATCCTCAGCAATGGCGTCCATTTGGGTGCGAACATCTAAAGCTGTCAACACACTAATCGGCCAACTACACGCAAATCAGGAGCTAGAGAAAGTTTAGCCTAGTGGCTAGTACTGCGAATGTCCTATGTCTATAGCGCAACCAAACGACAGTATCAGAGCAGATTGTAGCACACAAAGCTGACGTCAAAACTAATATGTAGATTAAGTAAAAACCTACGATTCAGCGACTGGGGTCCATCGAGGGTCGCTAAAAATGAATGATTTTTTTAGAGCCATGAAAGTTAGCAAAGATCCTTGACAAGATCGTCGAAGTTGATCAAAAAACTCACAAATGCACATCTTGCCGTCATTCCCAAGCGTATATCCGCTGAAGCATTCACACCGATGGCCGCCTTCCACATTTCGACACAGCTGTGAGCAACCGCCATTATTTAGTAGGCACTCGTTTTTGTCTAAATGTTGATGGATTGATTTGGGGAAAATTAACGCAATCGCCGCGCTCTTGTTGGCTCTCCTTTGGGAAAGAAAAACATTTCTTTCGGAGAATTTTTATTTCACGGAATTCCATTTCGCCCTACTTCTCTCGCCGAATTTTTACTTCGCCAAATTTCGTGACAGAAAGCAAATTACCACGCACAAATCCGCCTCGGCTACAATCGGAACAAAGGAAAATTTGGCCAAATGTGACGTACCATGACAAGAATGCCGATCCTCAGCCAGCACGAATCCCTTCTGACAAACACATTCATAGTCTCCATCCCGATTCCTGCAATCGTGCTGGCACCCCGCATTGTTCGCCACGCATTCATTAATGTCTAGACAGTGTATTTACACATTAATGGCCAATAAACTACCTTCACAAGTCTTCCCATCGTACGTCAAAATGAAGCCGGGCTTGCACTCACAATTAAACGACCCGGGCGTGTTTACGCATAATTGATCGCAGCCTCCGTTCTTCCGCTCACACTCGTTGATGTCTGAAAGGTGGCGGTGGAGGCTTACTGTAAAGTGTTATTACTCAAGTTGGAGTTTCGATTCGGGACCAAGTGCATCTTGTGCAGAATTTTTCGCTGATTCCGGATCCGTTTTCCAAATTTGCTGCGGACTTTTATTTTGAAAGTTATACGGCAATTATGGTAGTGTTTTTCACCAAAATCAAGGAACCGTTATCGCTTTCGAATGTCTTGTTCAATTTCAACTCGAAAATTGGCTAGAGATTGGCTAGACAAGCATCTTAAAAGTCAAAACAAGCTTTTTTATAAAAAATTAAATTTTTTATGCAAAAAGCAAAAGAAAGGTGCAGGGCGGGGATCCGAACCGCTGCCCTGCGCTTGGCAAGCGAGTACTTTGCCAATGCACCATGGTGCCAACCGGGAGGGGAGCTGTGACAGAGTACTCCAGGACCCCTGGGAGAGGAAATCCCCGAATCGAAACTCCAACTTGAGTAAAAACACTTTACAGTTAGCTTATGCCTGGTGTTTGGTGGGTGGTATAAAATAAAGCGCTATAAAATTAAGAATGGGTGAGGGACTTCATCTAGAACGGAGGCTTCTCCAGTGTTCCAAACCTAGTTCGCCCAACGATTTCAAGTCGTCAAATCGGTGTACAAAAAAAAGTTATTGGAATGCTATCGAACCTAGTGACTACAAGTGAGGGGTGGTTTCCAAAACGCGTGGCTGACTACACGATTGCTATAAGGTCTAATTTTCTATAGATAAAGTAGGAATCTCGCGAAAGTCACTTTTTCATTTTTTTTGAAAATCATGTTTGCAACATCAGAAGTGTGAAAAATTAGCGTCCATCTGCAGATGGCGAGCATATGACTTACGAAAAAACGATCTTGGGAACAAGTGCTCTCGGAAAAAATAATTGCACGCCTATCTACAGTACCAAGGCAAGTATGCCGATCGATCGGAGATAAAGAGAATCCGTGTCGACACAGACAACGAATCTCCCCGCTACGATAGTCGAGACAAAGGCGATGACAATGGCCCTGGTCCTCGAGACATGACGACAGTTCATACGAATCGGAGAGGAATGGACCGGCGCGCGAGGTTAGGTGAGGGAGCGATGAAGCGTTGGGGGAGGATTCTGGGGCAGACTATAGGTAGGCAGTTTAGTTCTCTCTCTCTCTCTCTCTCTCTTAACAAGAACTACACGATTGGCTCCTAAAAATTTCCACCTACCACGGCAACCTTTTCCATCTTGCAACAATTGAAATCCATCCCGACATCGGCACATATGATGTCCACCCGGTTGATCGTAGCAATCATGTTGGCAGCCACCATTTCCTACCTAAAATCGTACGATTATTAGGATCGATTATATTTTAATCTTTTAAAAAGTCCACCGACCAAACAACCTCCTAGAGATTCTTCGCAGCTTCGTCCATCTTCCGCCAAAATGTACCCATCTCGGCATTGGCACCTAATAGGAAGGATTTGCTGTCAAAAATCGATACGTGGCCCGTTCACAATGAAAAATGATCTCTAGCTTTGGAAGTATATTATACAGCTTTGGAAAACACCCTCAAACCCGACAAAATTCTATTCCAGGGCAACCTTTGTCCCTAAACCCTGCTTCAGATCCACAAACCTATAGGAACCATAGGAATTAACGCAATCATGCTGACACCCTCCGAGTCCCAGCTCACACTCGTCAACGTCTAAATTGAGAACAAACTACAGTATTCATGTTAATGATACCGGTGCAGGTTCTTCGATCGGCCGTGAGACGATATCCCCCAAAGCATTGGCATCTCGCGCGGCCGTTGTCGTTGACACAATGGTGTTGGCATCCCCCCTTGTCCACCAAGCATGGGTCCACGGCTAAAGTATCGGCGTTTAGGAAAAACCCTATACTCTAAGTTTAAATTTACAAGGGCGAAACGCAATGTTTCAAAAGAATTAAATAGAAATCTAATAATCGAATAAGAATTCTAATATAAACTCGTAAAAACTCACGCAAGCACCTCCTCCCGTCATCACCAAGATGGTATCCTTTCTTGCAACGGCATCGGTACATCTATAAGATACGGCCTGTACTTTAAAACGCAGATACCTTTCCCTCCCTCTCTTCACAAATATGCTCACATCCTCCATTGTCTGCCTCGCATGTATTCAGCTCTTAAAATCTATTTAAAAATTTGGATTTTTCACGTACCGACGCACTTTCGACCGTTCGAATGCAGCATCTTACCCGGCGGACACTCGCATCTGAAAAGGAGACCTAAGTTTCCGGTTACCGTAACCCACCGATGACCTCCCGGGGTGTTGATACAACGATGGGCACATCCACCATTTGACGCCTGACACTCGTCAATGTCTAGGAAATCGTTTTTTAGGCTTTCCCAAGCACAACTACCCTGGCAAGCCTTCCCGTCGGGGCCCAAATTGAATCCGGGCCAGCATCTACAGTAGAAAGTGCCGATCGTGTTTACGCAATCGTGACCACAACCTCCGTTCTCGATCAGGCATTCATTTACATCTGAACAAGACTCTATTTTAATACCTCCCCCTCTCTGGCGACTCCGCCTTCATTTAAGGTGAATTTTCTTGGCGCTACCGTGCCTTAAACTATAGCAAGATGTTGGTCTTGTTTTTTAGAGGAAGAATACATGAGAATTTAGTCAGAATTTTTTAATCTGGCTGTGGGGGCGGTGGGTCAAAATTCCCTTTTCAAACGTTTCGAGCTACCGTATTGACAGCGGGCTCCGGTGAAGCCGGATGAGCATTCGCAGAGTTGGTCGGTTCCGTTCCGGATTGGTAGACAAGTGCCGCCATTATGGCAAAGATCCGGTGAGCAGTCGACTGAAATCGAAATCATGGAAAGGGGATTTTGCTTTGCTCCTCATTCATTTCGCCGAATTATCCCGACTCTCGGCGGCTTAAAGTTGTTGAAATAGGATGTTTAAAATGAGGTGGCATTTAAACTAGCGTCAAGAATAAGCCGGGGATTATGGCTCTATGGAATTTGGGGGCTTTCCGGCCCACACGATCTTTTTTGAAATCTAGAGCCATCAACTATCCTAAGCAGGACGCGACGTACGGAAAATTCGATAAAATGAATTTTTGCGCGAGATTAACCTCCGCGAAACCGTTATTTAGTACCAGGGTTGAAAAACCGCTTCGCGGCTTTTTAACCCTGACCCCGTATAACGCACATCATAGTCAAAAATGTGCATATTTCTTCCCGAACCGATCGCAAAAAAATGAGAAGCCCCCTCTGGCCCCTTATATAGGCTTTCCCCACTTCCGGCGTATGCAAATTGCCTCCTAACAAAGAGGTTTTTCGATATCTTTACAAAAAACTCAATTTTAATAGCGAAAACAGTAATTTTTCAAAACTTTGATGTGTTTGCACTCATCTCGGCTCGATTACGCACCTAATGACGTATCATACGTACCCTATAGACTTTCCCCTAAGGATGTAGGTGGAAGACAACCTCACGGAAGTTGCATGCAAATGCACACACACACACAGACACTATTTTTTTATATATGTAGTAGGATACCTTTTTATAATATATTGTCATAACCGAGTGGGTCGGGCTCTATGCCAGAGACACACCCCAGTTACGATCTTCCCATGTTGGGGCTGTTACTACTCTTCTAGTTAGGAACCCTAATCCTAACTTAACTGGCTCCGCGCCATAGGTTGTTCTATGAAATGTCCCAGATACGAACTATGATTGATGCTACTGATTTTGTGACGTTGACACTCTTTTGACTAGGGGGAAACTCATGAGGAAGGTCTTAATGTATAAAGTGTATTTATTACCCACGGACTTGTTATGAGGGGTTTATTAGAGTAACTTAAACTGTCATATAAAAACTGGGGACGGGATAGAGGCCGAGAAAGGAAGTCGGCCGGCGCGGATACAGACCCTAACAAATATGATTCTTAGAAATTATAAAGCATCCAAAGGGGACGGAATCCCGTCGGCCCGAGAGGGCCTCCGGTCTCCCGTGGGACTTCGAGTTAGCTTAGCTTAAGGAGGGACAGGGAAGGGGTCAGGGTCTGGGATCTGAGTCTGGGGATCGACTGACTGATTTCGGGAATCGAGGGGATGACCCGCTTGAGAGGCGGGGCAGATGATGGTGCCGCAGGCACCATTAAGCGTATATACTACAACCATTAAGAGTATCTACTACAATATTCCGAATGCCCCGTTACAAAATGACCTCCGACCCGGTTCGGTTAATCCCTTCCCGTTGCTCTCCTCCGTCTTTCGTTGCGGGACCTTGGCCTTGGCTTTGCGGAGAGTAAATGCCCTTATGCAATGGACAGTCTTTTGCCGATACCGCCGACAAGCCAGCTGTTCTATTGAATTTATAAGGTCGACCAGACAGAATGGAGCAATTAACGGAAGCATGACAGCTGCGATTTTCCTGATTTCATCTTACTTTTTCAATGGTTTTCAGGCTTAGGCTTCGGCGAATGTCTTGCATTTCCAAGGAATGTCAGGCCTACATTCGCTCTTGGCATCGTGAAATACTCCGAATTTTTCCACATAATTTTAAGGGTTTTCACTATTTTGGCAGTAAGCCTCCCAGGTCCCTTTAACTCTCCCTTCCGTCAAATATTGGGTTGGAACGTAAGTCTCTGCGCTTTTTTAAAGCTCGCTGCTTGTCTTAGTCGTAGACTTTGGACCAAGTGTTATATATCATTCAAAAGAGCTTTCTTTTCTCTATCATACACCGGCATTAGTTTATTTTCTACGCCCACATTGCTCAAAATTAATGGGTTAGAATGAAAATCGTCGCTTTCCTTTGAGCTCGATTTTGAGCACGATCGCTAATTACTTTTACCTATGATCTATTGTGCTTTCAAAGAGTTTTTATTCCTCTACCTTTTCATGTAATTAGTTTATTTTTTAAATTGCCTTTCACTAATTTTTAACAGATCGAAAAATTGACCAAAATGCGCCCTTCCTTCACTTGCTAATTTCTGCGTTAAAAACAATTATTTAGCACATCCCAAGCTCGTGCTCGACTCTTCTGCCTATTTAGAAGAAACTACAACGTTCAAAATCACACAGAGCTATCTTTAAATTTTCATGGAAAAACATCAACCAAGGAGAACCACTGTCTGGTATGATAATTTGAGCGCGAGTTTAGCGTAGACGAATCCATAAACCTGTTAATCTTTGGCAGCAAGCTGTAGTCCTACTGGGTGAGTACATAATAGATCAAATTGAATTTGATAATTATGGTGCGAAAAGATTTTGCATGGTGCGGTCGTCGAGCCTTCGAGGGTCATTTTTGTCGATACTTCGTTCCCCGAAATCCATTCGAAAATAACGCCTATAAAATAGGCGGCTATTGGAGCCTTGTAGAGCAAAAAATGTTTTTTCTAATGGTATATAGGACACAGCAAAAAAGTTCGGATTTCTGCGCGAAAATTGAGCTTGAAAATACGCAGAGACTTACGTTCCAACCCAATATTTCCGACTTCCGGTGACCATGTCCATTTCCCAGCCCTTTCCACCCTCTCCCCCTATTCTTATGCAAATTGGGCCTAATGACGGAGGGCCATTGTTGGGGCCCCAAACGGACCTTGGCCTCGCGGGTTGAACCGATGAGGGGCCCTACAAAAAGGCAAAAGTCGATTAGCACCCCGGCCGGCTGTCGCTATTCACGATCAAGTGCCGCTGCGCACCTACCGCTCCCTTTAAAAAGGTCCCAGTGGGCCGGCTGTCACAATCACTACGCGACGTGACTATAAACAGCCGGGGGGCGCTAATGCGTCGTAATGTATTGTGAAAACAAGGGCCGGACGGGGGTGGGGAGGGGTGGAGGAGTGATTGAGGGTGTTGATTGAGGAGGCAATCACGAAATATAGGTCATCACCCTTTTCGGGGGTACCGCGCAAAATTGAGGGGTACCGTATGGCTTTTTCGGATGGGCAACAAGGTTAGGATTACTTCAAGAAACTGGGTACTATTCCAGTTATGGGAGGGTAGAAATAGTTGGCCGTTTTATCAGCGCCTAACGTAGCGTAGCTTATTATTGGCTTACTGTAAAGTGTTTTTACTCAAGTTGGAGTTTCGATTCGGGACCAAGTGCGTCTTGGGCAGAATTTTTCGCTGATTCCGAACCCGTTTTCCAAATTTGCTGCGGACTTTTATTTAAAAAGTCATTTTTGGTGCAAATTAAGCTTAAAAAAGCCAAAAATTCGGATTCTGGCCCACTATTCCTTCCTTGGTTCGAGTACTCCCGGGTGCCGTGAAGTACGCTCTCACAGCCCGCAGACAAGTTGGCACCATGGTGCATTGGCAAAGTGCTCGCTGCCAAGCGCAGGGCGGCGGTTCGACCCCCGTCCCGCATCACTGCTTTTGCTTTTTGCATAAAAAAATTTAATTTTTTTGGAAAAAAGCTTGTTTTGACTTTTAAGATGCCTGTCTAGCCAATCTCTAGCCAATTTAGACGTTGGAGTTGATCAGGAAAATCGAAAACGATAACGGCTGCTTGATTTTAATAAAAAAACTACCATAATTGGCGTATAACGTTCAAAATAAAAGTCCGCAGCAAATTTGGAAAGCGGATTCGGAATCAGCGAAAAATTCTGCACAAGATGCACTTGGTCCCGAATCGAAACTTCAACGAGAGTAAAAGCACTTTACAGTCAGACGTGGCACCAAGTGGTGAATACATTTTGTAGCCTATACTAGCTAGCTATGCCTATACTAACTTAACTCCCAATTGCCACAAATTTCAAACTCCCACTCTCAATACCTCTTTTACAGCCACTGTCAGTCCGTTCCCATCCGGGACAACACTCGGGTACCGTATGCCGGCGTGTCCGATTCACCCGTTTATAGGTGTGGTAGTAGATTACCCTAAAAACGGAATAAAAACCTGAATACATTGATACTTTGGCTGCCGGACGGAACAAGAGCGAAACGGGCCCTCACAGCCCGGCTTCCGGGATCGCACATATTTGGTGTAAGCCTGGACATCCATGAAAATTAGATTTTAGGATTACGGTACCTGCACGCATGGTTCTTTGATGGTGACGACTTCTAATTCTTCGTGCGGGCAGACGTGTTCACTGAAAAAAAATTGGTTTTCAGTGTTTTTCTATTATTACTAGTAGGGCTTTTGCCTGTCGGTCTTTTGTCCGGTCGGGATTTTCGAGGTCGGAATTTTGGGATTGTGGCTCTAGGCGCTACGGCTTCCGCTTAAAGGGGCTCAGAAGTCAAAATTCGTGCGTGCGGGGATTGAACCTCTGGGTCAAAAAACGAAAGGGTCACTGCCGAGAAGTGCCAAAAAAGTGATTTGATTGCGAAAAACGTAAAATGTTTGAGAAAAACCGAATTCTTTTTGAGGCAAAAACGACATATTGAGTGCGCGGCGATTACATGTCGTAATGCCTTGTAAGGCACCCAATCTCTCGATCTCGGCGATTCTCTCGTCAATTTTCATAATTTAAAAGTCTGGAATGATCAAATTTCGTTGAGGATCCCAAAAATAGTATCAGAATTTTTAAATTCAAGCGTTTTCGCGTTAAAATAGGTGGAAATGGTCAGGCGACGTGGTCGCGGTGCGGCCGCATCTGGCTATTTGCCAGGAACCACAGCAGGGGGCCGTGGACCAAATTTCGGAGCCCCTTTAACCCTTTCCCCAATTTGGCCCCCATTTTCCAACCCTCCTGTACCGTACAGTTTTCCAAGCGGAAGGCATACCCCCCGATTTTCGGGCAAACACTCGCACACCCATCAAATGCTGTGGGTGTGAATCGCGGGGTGTGATAAGCCGCGGTGGTGTGAAGTGGTGTTTAACGGAATGGCAGAAAGAGGGAAGAATCGCTACGCAAACAAATAATAGATGGGCTGTAGACGATACAGCAGCCGGAAGGGGCCCGACTAATTATGGAATTTGAACCACACCAACTGGAAATCCCGGTTTAAAGGGGGCTAGGACGTTCTAAAATCGATGTGTCGGTATTTGAGACCTGTCGGTATTCTGGCCTGTCGAGATTTTTCTCTACGGTGTAAGCTTGCCGAACCTATTCCTGTCGCTATTCTGACTTGGATTTCGGCCTCTGTGAAGCATGGCATTTCGGGATTTATTTTTGTCACTATCCCTTTAAAAAATACGAACCCTCCTCCCCTTTTCGACCCAAACCAACTCTTTCGACTTCATAATCCCACTTTCCAGCCATGGCGCGAGGGCCTTACCACCGGAATTGATGGGTGCGTTGTGGAAGGAGGAGAAGAAAAATAGGGAGGATGACCCTCGAAAAGACACCCTTGCCCTCACAATGCCATAAATCCCTTCAATCCCCACAAAGTGACCCAATATATATGCGAAGGGCGAGAAAGAGTGGTCAGAAGAAGAGTCAGAAGAGGTATTCCCTAGTGAGTCGCAACTACGCAACAATACGCTCCGGGGAGTTCCGGGGGGATGCGTTCGGAAATTTCTGAAAACTATAACGTTTCGTGTTCAGCGCTTAACGAAAGGAAAATAAGGTTTTCTTGGCGCTTAGCCTATGTAATTTCGACACTCGGAAATTTAACATTTTGTAGGACATTTACCATTTTTAAAATCTTAAGATAGGAAACCGGCGAGTTCTCGGCTCGTTTGCTACCTCCTGTAGTACAAAGCCTTTCCAATCCCTTCAACCGGTCCCACCCAGCCTATTGGTATGATGTTTGGGGTATGAGAAATGTGTGAGAACCACCTGCTGCACTCCCCCTCTCCGGTCAGATCCATCACTTTTTTGTCAATGTCCATAGCCAGGGGGCCCCGAATGTTGCGCAACCCATTTGGGAGGATTAGCCCACACTGGTCGAGGCCGTTTATCGCCTCCAATCATCGCTTCAGCCGACTCAACACATCGCTCTTAAAGGGACCAGGCCGGGAAGCCTATCTTTTGAGTTTTGCGTCCGTGCTTGGCTTATCTGGCTTGGCAATGGGAAGCTGACGGTCATTTTTCGGGAAGCTTTCTACGTACTGAACTGTTAGCGGGGGGTTTGCGGAGGACTCATTCTTCCCAGGACGTACAGCTCCATGACGAAATCAAAACCATTTACTTTACAAAGTTTTTAGATATAAAAAGTAAAAAATAGATATGCATTCGAAAAAATGTATGAAAAATGGCTACAACCACAGAATATTCTAATGTTTTTAGGACTTTCTAGTAGTCAAAAACTGCTAAAAAACAGTACCAGGACAACTAGCAGGTTTATTTGAGGAATCTGGGTTAAAACCTAAAGCTAAGCATTAATTCGTTTCAGTCTTTGCCCCGAATCCATTCCTCTTTCTTGCTCAATTCCATGTGGCAACAAGTGACCGGGGGTGGTCCTCAGGGGGGATTGTTGTGTATGTATTCGGAAGGTGATCCGTCGAGTGTGTCGAGTGGGATAATCCGTTGGTATCCATCCCCCCGTCCCTCCGTTCCGTTCCCATACTTTGTTTGCTTTCAATTTCCCCCGCCAATAGATATTGGCCTCCGTTCAACCCCCTCGTAGAAGGACCTAATTGGGAGGGGAGGGTGGAAGTGTCTTGATTTCTCTGCGTCTCTCTCTCTCTCTCCGACACCACTATTAATCGTTTCCCTCAAAAGTCAAGCTGCTAAGCTGTCAGTAGCATGGGGAATGGGCGGATAATTGGATTCAGGATAAAATCTTGGTGTGGATTTATGCCTATACGTTTTAGGAAAAGGGCGAGGAAGAGAGAGAGAGAGAGAGAGAGAGAGAGAGAGAGAAAGAAAGAGAGTGAGAGAGGGAGAGCGAGTGAGTGAGAGAGACAGAGAGACAGAGAGAAAGACTTTGAGGGAGCGAGAAAGAGCAAGAAAGAAGCTCTAGAATGTCATACAGACAATGAGGGAGATAGCGAGCACGTGAGAGAGAGAGAGAGACCGAGATATAAAGAAAGAGTGAGAGCGTGAGAAAAAGCAGAATCAAAGCTCGAGGTCGTCAGAGAGACAGACAGAGAACGAGACGGATAGTGAGAGCGAGAGGAAGAAAAATAATTAAAGGCACTTGACGTGTGCGAAGCTTACGCATACAAACTGAATCCCACCCCGAAACTGATCTGCATAGGGCCCCCAAGTACGTATCAGTACGCTCTAGTTTTAGCACCCCGTTCTAACCCCCCTTTTGCCACCGTTCACCAGCGGAGCGTTGCGTAGTCCTAGGGGCAATAACCGTACAGATGATCTGTCTTGTCCACCCCCCCCCCTTCCTTTCCTCCTTCGCAGCCTGACTCATATACCCTGAGGCCATAAACGGGAAGGGACGATCCATGAAACAGAATATAAGATGTGATCATAACCGAGGGGACCGCTATTCAAATATTCTCTTCCTCCGCCCCTTCACGGCTCTTCCTCCTCTACGGGGGGGGATGAAGCCGAGCTGATGGACCGCATCTTATGTGACTGCAGGGCACATCAACCGGCTTTATACAATTTGAGTGAGAGGGCGAGATAGAGAGAGAGAGAGAGAGAGAGAGAGAGAGAGAGGGAGGGAGCGAAAGAGTGAGAGACAGAGAGATAACCAATGACCGGGAAGATTGTAGCTAGTACAGCCGCGTACACCACCGGCTATTCGTATGCAAATTTGAGGGACAAGTTCTGGGAGTGGGGAGCCAATTTTTTTAGGGTGGTTCTGAGGAATAAAAAAATATATCAAAAGAGGAAGATGAAGAGGTTTTTTAGTTGAAAGTCTAACTGTAGTTCGAAGTCTACGCAGGCCTAAGGTTCTGCTTGGGAATAGGGTTAGACTTTGACTTCGACCCTGTTTTTTCCAGCTATTTGTTTTATTAGTGGGCCAGGTAGTGGGCGAGACGGGTGCTTAGGTTCCACTTTTCGAATCAAAAACTTTTAAATTGATTTTTCGCGAGTCTACCCCGATCAACAATAACTAATCGATCCATTCGAAACACTAAAAATTAGCATGTCGCAACGTAGCCCGTGCTATTGTATATTCTACGTTCTTGCAGTGATGGTAGTTGGCTAGAGGAGACTGGGGGGCAATGTGAGTGATGACCGGGCCATCTATTATCTTCCACCTCCCAATCCTTTGTCCCGATCCTTCAGGGACAAATCACCCCCACCCCGCGACGCGTTCGTATAGAAACACACAACCCCACCCAAAGATATGCTAATCTTGTCAGTTTGAATTTTAAGGGCAATCGAGCAGGGATCTTTGGGGAAATGGAATTTCAAGGAGGTTAATGCTATTTTCTTTTTTCAGTGTCGTTTTTAAGGTCGGGAAAGGCAATCGAACATTTGTTCACGCAACTTGATTTCCGGAAATTAATTTTGTTCTCCTAGTTTTTCGGGATTGAATTTTCAGATCTGTTAATTGCGAACCGGCAGCGATTATTGGTAGATCTTTATTTGCCATTCTACTCTTTATTTTTGAATTTTTCGGGTTGTTAAAGGCAATCTAGCAGCGATCATTGGCAGAAAAAAATTTCGTGACCATTAATTCATAAATTTCAAGTTTCCCGAGGGTTTTCAATGTTCCAAAAATTCTCCCAGCCGCCCGTAAAAGTAGCGACCCGGAAAATTCGAGTTGGCATTTTTGAGGGTGGGGATGGGTTGTTGAGCGGAAATCGAGCGGAATCACGGAAAGTCACAGAAGCTACGCTGGGTGGCAGCTAGCAGTGATGTTTTGGGAAATCACACTCTGGAAATCTTTGCTCTTTCCTTTTGAAGCTCAATGGCGCAGAAAGTGCTCTATTTCTTTTGGTTAAGTTATTTTTCCTTTTCCATACGAAGATTTTTCGGGCGCTCGAAAGTGGGAAGCTTCGAGCTTCATATTGGTAATTACCGAAAAATCGACGTATCAGCCAGATTTAAAAAAAAATGCAAAAAAATAATTTTCAGGCAAAAAGGCCGACTGTCGATCAAAGTAAAGTATACAATTGTTTCTGCCCTTATTCTCTAGCTAAAGGCCATAATTCGAGCCCCATTCCTCTTTTCTTGGTTAAAGGGGGTACAACCCGAGCCACCGCCATAGCGGGAGGAGAGATGAGTGATTGGTGCTTTGTGAGGGCAGGCCATTCTATAGAAAACCACCGGCCGACGCCCCCGTCCGAGTCGGGATGGCTCTTGTAGCCACGGGGCACGTTTTAGAACCCATACCCTCAAGCCGGAAGAAGATGAGCAATAGAGAGGAGAATAGGAGCCACTCGAAAACGGGAGAATCATTCCCGGAAACGGAAAGTTTGGGTCATTTTGGAGGGGGTTGCAAAACTGTAGCTATCTATCTCGCTGAGTGTCTTGCTCTCTAAAGCTCTCTCAAAATCGCTTTCGATAACACGAAAGAAACGCGACTGTTTTTTTGCCCGACAGGACCTCATCACCTCCAAAATCTCGCCGAATTGGTTGACCCCGCTGTCATTCCGGGACACTCCTTTTGTCGGCCCACCCTTTCCTGGGTGTCAAGTGACAAAAGCGGACTCGGTAATTATAAGGTGAGCTGGGGGGAGGCGGTCCACCTGGCCCTAACCCCCAACCCTGCCAATCTAAATTCCATAGCACTACATCGGTATGACAGAGCTGGAGGAACTTTTCAACGAGAGAGAGAGAGAGAGAGAGAGAGAGAGAGAGCAGGCTTCATTTAGTTGAATTAACATAAATAAAACCTACTCTCCCAGCCGCAGCTCCTGTAGATGAACATCGACGAGGGCTTGTGCATATAAAAGAAGCCCGCACAGTCCCAGCCACCCCAGCATCGTTGGTGCGATTCTGGCGGTGGCTTCTCGTAAATCTGGAATGTGGTATAGAAAATGTGGCCGAAAGCAAAAGGAAGCCGGAAGTGTATTAAAGGAACTGAGAAGGCAATGAAATCTACTTGTTAATGTCAGGTTAATGGCAGGTTTGCCTCTTTCTCCCAAATGTCCCACTCTCAACTGCGAAAGCATAAAAAAAATATATCCAAATTTGTGCCCGGGGTGGGGGGGGGTTGGGGCCAATTGAGGTGGCCCCGCGGGCTTCTGCCTTCTGGTGAATCGGGACAATAGAGGCCCAGGTGGCGAAGGCATTTCCACCCATTCCAGTCCGCACCACACCTAGCTACAATTATCACTCGGCACTCAATAGAATGCAGACAGGGAAATGCACGTCTACATACTTTAGAAAAAACAAAGCAATTCTTCGGGCCCTGGAAATAGGTTCTTAAAGGGATTCGGAAGGCATGGTTATGTATTTTTAAAGATTTTTCTGCACGCAATACGCAATGCAACGCGATACGCAAAGCTACACGGCGTGACACGTAAGGAGCTCGCAATTGAAGGGCTTATAGTTTTGAAATGTTTCGCGATGCGAGATGCAGAGAAAACGACCGGGGCATAACCCCTTTTAATGACGAAAAATGGTAAAAAAATCTGGTAAATCCTTGCCTTCTGTGTCCCGTTAAGGTGGCCAGCGTATCCGGTGTACGTTTCGTGGATCTCTGACTGCTAATATTTGATCTCTACTACCCGGAGGGGGGCACTGTTTAGGTATGAGTGGAGGGCAAGGGGCACTTCAGGATCGGAAAGAATAAGGTATCTAAACATGATGATAGGCAGCAAATGCTTAAAAGTCGTTTGTTTATGCTTCTGCGCTGCAAAAAGAACAGCTTCGGACTTGATTTGCATGGGGGAAAAAGACAGACTTAGCGAAAGCCAACGCAAGTCTTTAGAATTGAGGGTGGTTTTGATTTGAATCTCTCCAAGCTCTACTATTTGAAACCCAAAAGAATTTTAGAATAAGAATCCCGGGGGGTTTCCCGAGACTAAAGGGTGAAAGAAGGGACTAGGGTGCGAGGGGGAGGCAAGTCTAGTCAGCCACGGAGTACCCGAGGCTCCGCCCCTTCCCCGCCCGTGGTATGGCATAATTCGGAGGTGTCTGGGAGGGGGTAGAGGGGAGGGGGGATGGGATATGTGTTTGTGATGGCCTCGATGGTGACAGTCCCGTCGAGAATTCCGTTTTGATCCCGTCGCACCACCAGCAAAACTGGTACCCTGGTCCCGGTGCGCGGTTGTTTCGATATTTGCTTCCGAAACAATTTTCGGTGTCTTGAAGCTTAAGCTGAAGCAGCCAAGCTGACGGTAAAGAAAGCACAGACACTAAATAAAGCAACACGTCGAGAAAACCTAAAATTATTGAAATTAAATTAAAAATCCCAAGCACATCATGACCGCGATTTTTATGGCCTCGCAATTGTCAGGGTTTTTTGGCTCACGAGGTTAGGTTCAGTTCTTGCGAATTTGAAATTGCAAAATTCGAGCCTCGACTTACTAGGGAAGTGCAAATAAAAAATCCAGCAAACCGCCTAGCAAAAATATGGGTCTGATAGAGTCGGCGACGGGGATTCCGAAACTGCAATCAGTATTTGCAAAACGCCTAATACAAAAAATTAGTAGAATTTTAAGTTTTGCAGCACTTTCTCCACTTTCCTTTATGAGCCCCTCCCAGAGAGCGGTGTCCGTCTGTCGAGTGGTGTAGTGGCTAACTGGCCTGCCTCTGGGGCGGAGGGTCTCTGGTTCGACTCCTCGGACATCCTCTTTTTGCTTTTTGGCCAAAGTCAACAACCTTTTCAAAGTTTCGAAGTCCGAAATTCAGATTTTTGAACATTTTCCTTATTATTGTCTGCGTGTAGGCTTACCTTACGAAAAAACAGGTGAATTTTTTAGTGTCCTACCCACAAAAGTGCTTGCACTCCCGCCACCACTTTGTAATCGGTTTCATGAATTTAAAAATTAAGAGAACGGCCTTTTCGACTTTGAAACTTTGAAAAAGTCTAAAGTTCTTGACTTTGACCAAAGCAAAAAATTTTGCATGTCCGGGCGCCGAACCAGAGACCCTCCGCCCCAGAGGCAGGCTAGTTAGCCACTACACCACCCGACAGACGGACACCCCTCTCTGGGAAGGGGCTCACAAGGGAGGGCGGAGAAGTGGTGCAAAACTTAAAATTTAGGCTTTTATTTGCACTTCCCTAGTTAGGCTTTTACTCAGGCCCAGGGATGAGCTTATTAGAGGAAAGGTTTCGGTTTTAGGCTTAGCTTCGGCTTAGCTTTGCTTACCTACAACGACTCCCAAGTTCGCTGGCTGCCAAGCTAGGGGGCAATGTGCCGGTCGGAAGCCTGGGGGATAGTCCGTCCCTACGTGCATTTGCATTTTCCCACTGCCGTCAAAAGGCATTTTCATTGCCCATCGGCTGAGGGGCTGGGGGGCTGTATTTTCTTGGAAATTCCGTCATCGGTAATCGAAGATTCCGGGATGCTTCTGAGGTTATTTTGAGGGCGGAAAAATCGAGGAAAAAATCCGGCATCATTTTGCTGAGGATTAATCACCCCTTCAATGTGAAAGCGATATAGCAATTTCTTTTTATTATGTTTTTCTTGCTCATCTTCGTAAAGTCGAAATTCCTATCACCTAAATTCTAGGATGTTGAAATTGCATAATGCCGACATTGCCATCAGAACGCCGACGGTTGGTATTGGTCGAAATCTGATTGATAATGCCGACATTTTTAGGAAGGCCGAATGTCGAAAACCAATCTTTGCCAAAAAAATGTCGATTTTTCTAAAAAGCCGGCACTATCAAAATTTCTACCGAGCGAATTTCGATGTTTTCTTGTAAAAAGAATCTACCACCTACCTACCTACCACAGGCTAGAGGGACCCAAAAAAACGGGGCCACCTATGCATTTTTGAGCGCAGCACGCCAGTTTTTGCGGCGGAATGTGCGCTCGGGCTTGTCGTTTGCCATGAAAAACGTGCAAGTCGTGCGAGCCGAAAGGAACGGAACCCAGATGTTACTACCGTCAGCAGAAAAACCCTGCTGGTCAGGGGGGTAATTGGTGTCGTCGCGTTTTTGCGGACCAATTGATGGGATGGGCCAATGGGTTTTTGGTGGGACATCTATTGGGAAGGCTTTTCCCTTCGAAATCTGCCCCCCCACCCACTTTTTTCAGGTCGTATCCTCGTCTCGACACCCCATTAGATCGCTCTAGCCCCCCGAGTGGAAGATCGGGAGACGGGTCATGAGAGTGGCCAGCGGCCGGTCGAATACGCTACACAACAAGAAACGCCTAGACAAAACGGCATTTTCGAAATGATTGGCCGGGGATGGCTCATCTGGAAGCGCTATCCTTGGAAGCAAAGCACTGAATTTATTTGGTATTTGGTATGTATTTATTTATTTTGGTATTTTCGAGATTTATTGCTCGAAATTGAGAATAATTTTTCTGTACTATTTTTGAGCTGTTCTCGAGATACCTCGGGACGTTATCGCACGTTTTAACGCGCGGAATCCTTTTTTCAAATCGAATTCATCGTCTTCGGGAGTCAAAGGATTGACATCACAACGCCTTTTATCAAATTGGATGTTTATTCGGTTTCTCGGTCGTCAATTTGTTAAACGGTGGCTTTCTACCGTAACGTGTCGAGGCTCATCGGTCGATTGGCCCCGGCGACGTTGGCCCAATCGTGGCGGCGCACTTCCGCCGATCGAATATCTCGCTTGTCGACTGGCTAAAAGTGTGTTTTATTGAATAAGACGGTGAAGCTGGACGCGTAAACTGCTTCAAGTCGTTGCAACGCCTTTCTTGGCTACGTTAGCTGGAACAAACGTTATTTTCCAGCTTCTTCTCCCACAACTTCAGGGCGCCCATGAAGTTCTCCTCGATTTGGACGCCTTCTGGGTAACTGAAAATTGTAGTTCGTTGCCCAGAATCGAGGTTGAATATGATTACATCCTGATACTGTCACCATCTCTACAGGGTGTCCCAAAAAAAACGACCCATCTGGCATTTCGCCGTGTTACATCCAATCGGCCCCAAATTTGGATCAAAGGTGTATCAGACCCTAAATAACCACAATCCTGACTTATAGCGCGGTAGCTACAGTCGTTCTCGAGTTATAGCAAAAACAAACTTTATTTTCCATTTTTCATAGGGTTTTCGTGGAATTAGACCCCCTAAACATTAAGTGAAAATGATACTTCGATTTAAGCGATTTTTACAAAGCAAAACTACCCCAGTTCTTAAGCGAAATTAGGGATTCGCAGCCGGAAGTCGATGCAAATCGATGCAAAGTCCAAAAAGATGGCCGAAAAAACTGTTCAGAATTCCGGGAAAAACAGTATTTTCGCTATAACTTTAAAAATACTGTAGCTACGGGGCTGTAAGTCAGGATTGTTGTTATTTAGGGTCTCATACACCTCTGGTCCAAATCTGGGACCGCTTGGATGTAACCCGGCGAAATGTCAGATGGGTCGTTTTTTTTTGGGACACCCTGTATTATAAGCTTCCTGCGGGGCATAACGTACACTGTATAGAAATATCGCATTGCACATTCGAGGGACATTTTGTGATAGTACATGATATATTGTAGAGCCATTGCTTGGCAGGCATTCCGTCCGTCTCGCGAAAACATTAGCACCTAAGCAGCTTTTTATGTCTTATTAGGCGCTAACTGTAAAGTGTTTTTACTCAAGTTGGAGTTTCGATTCGGGACCAAGTGCATCTTGTGCAGAATTTTTTGCTGATACCGAATCCGTTTTCCAAATTTGCTGCGGACTTTTCTTTACAAAGTCATTTTTGGTGCAAAATTAAACTTGAAAAAGCCAAAAATTCGGATCCTGGTCCACTATTCCCTCCATGGTTCTGCCTAGCCCAGGGGCCCTGGAGTACTCTGTCACAGCTACCCCCTGGGTTCGCACCATGCTGCATTGGCAAATTACTCGCTTGCCAAGCGCAGGGCGGCGGTTCGGATCCCCGCCCTGCACCTTTCTTTTGCTTTTTGCATAAAAAAATTTAATTTTTTATTAAAAAGATTGTTTTGACTTTTAAGATGCTTGTCTAGCCAATCTCTAGCCAATTTTGAAGTTGAAATCGATCAGGAAAATCGAAAACGATAACGGTTCCTTGATTTTGGGGAAAAACACTACCATAATTGCCGTATAACTTTCAAAATAAAAGTCCGCAGCAAATTTGGAAAGCGGATTCGGAATCAGCGAAAAATTCTGTACAAGATGCACTTGGTCCCGAGTCGAAACTCCAACTTGAGTAAAAACACTACAGTAAGTTCAGAGGGTAAAGGTTGCTTGATGGGGGGGAGGGGCGATACCAAACGGGGTGTCGACGTATTTTTGCCTTATATGCACTTCCTATTGCAGTATGTCATTTTCAAAGCAACGAAAAGATGTCTAGGAGCTCATTTTAGCGGAAATACCCTAATTTCAGCTATCAAATTTTCTGAATCGGAAAGTTTTGGTAATTACAAACCGTTTTAAATGAAATTTTCTAGCTCTTATAGAATTTCTAACTATAATTTTGACGCTTTCAGATAAAACTAGAATTTTCAGAAAACGAGGCCAGTATCTAAAACAGCAGGTTTGTTGCCCTCCCCCCGTTAAGCAACCTGTACCGCCCGCACTTACGTGGGCTCCCTTTGCCCTCGCTTCAGCTACAAATCGGTTGATTGCCGGGAAGTGCGAGCAAATTATCTGGAAATTAAAAGAATGTCTCGACAGCCAGTTGCCGCGTAAATATACGCTAAACAGTCATTTCTATCTTCCTTCTACCTAGCGCACACGAGCGTCTTTGGGAGTGTCCCGTAGTTTCCCCTTCCCGTCTTCAAATCTCACCTCCGCCACCTTTTCCTCATCCAAATTAACCGAAAATTCGGTCGGTGAGTGGAAGGCTTTGCTCTCACAGGGGCAAGTCGTTTGTACGCGGATTTTCATCCTCTCCTCTCCCGTCAAATTCTGAAATTAGGGTTATTTCGGTTACTTCGCTGGTTGTAATAAGACCATACCAATTCTACCTATGCCAGCAATACCCCGACACGCACAAACAGACCAAAATCCCGAAAACCTAAATCCTGACAGTCCACAATCCCAACAGGTCACAGCTCCGATAGCTGACACGCTACAGAAAAATCGCGCCAAGCCAAAGTGTCGACAGCAACAATCACGGGCTGATTTTGGCGCTTTCCCTAACGTTGCCGCTTCTCACCAAGTCACTTAGTTCTTCCTCTCTTTTTAACCCGTTTCAATCCCTTAAATCCCGACCAGCAAATAGCGTATACGATGCTGGCACAGATACTTCAAATCGGAGCCCATATCCACGTTGCCGCAGTGCAGAAATTCGAGAATCCGGTAAGCCTCGGAGCGGGTACTGCATTGAGCATGATCTTCTGAGCGCGAGTCCAGTCAACTCACACGAGGGCCGAATCGAGGGATTGAGAGTGAGGCTGGGAGAGACGGCGGCGAGCCATCGCTTGAAAGGTCGGTGGTTCGCGCATCGCTTCTACGGTGATCAGCTGGAAATTCGGAATTTATTGGTGCAGCAGAATAGCTATGGTCATCGCACCTTTGGCTGATTGCCAGATGTCGAGGGGCGGGCTTTTGAAGAGCATGAAGAAGCTCGGGAACGGACGGTTGAAGAACCGGGGGAGTCCAAGGGGGTCGGCCCAGACTTAAAACAGAACAATATTTTCCGGGAAGTGTTTTTAAACTGTTTTTTAATATATTTTGCCGTAAAAATCTAGCTCATTTTGATTAGAAAATACAAAAAATATCGATGTTTAACCAAAAAAGTTGATTTTTCGACGAAAACCTCTTCCGCATGGCCAAAGCTTACATTCTGGCGAATCGAGTGACGTCCTGCGCGCTCCATCTCAACCGCTAAACCGTGGCCCACGCGACCGTACACCTAGCCGCGTCGTCGTGATGAGCCTTCGAATGATGGTGCTGCCTTCTTGTCTTCCATCCTCCCCCCTTCCCCTTCCATATCTTCACGTATCCATGGGGATCAGCTCCAATTAGGGGGTGTTTTCTGTCTGTCTTCTTGTCTGTCTGTCTGTCTGTTTGTGTATGTGTCCATCCATCCCTTCGGGACCATCTCTCGCAAATTACCCATCTTTACCCGCGCATCCCCCTCCCCCACACAATCCAGCCACATCCCCCTTTCATTCACAAAACCCGGAAAGTGGCGGGCTGATGACGGGGTTTTTGGCGGTCGATAACTCGGGATTTGCCGCGGGGGGGGGGGGGGGGGGGCGGCGTTTGAGGGTTTTAAAGGGGCTGGGAAGACGCCGCAGATGTCGAGCCGCTTTGAAGGTCGCTACTTGGTAGCGATTAAAAAATTATGGAATCATCAAGTTACGCGGGCGGAAAAAGACTGATGGGTCGTTCAGAGCCGATAAAATCTACAGTGACCCCGGACGCTTGAAGAGCCCTTGAAGATCGTCGGCTAGACTTTGGTCTGCACTTACCAGGGAATGGAATGCGAAAAACTGTGAAGGGCTGTAATTTTGCGGCATTACGGTAGCCGTGGCTAAAAGTTATATCAATTGATTCGTCTTCGCTTAGGCTTAACCTTAGGCTTATGCTTCGGCTTGGCCTAGGCTTAACCGGCTTAGGCATGCGCATAGGCTTATGCTTCGGCTTCGCTTAGATTTATGCGGTTAGGCTTGGGCTTAGGCCTATGCTTCGACTCCGCTAAGGCTTGGTTTTCGGCTTCGCCTAGGCTTAAGCTTCGCCCTCTTGCCCATCCCTTTAAATCTTGTCTACCCTGTTGTTATGTTGGTGTGCCCCCGCGGGTGGTTCGGCAGAGGCCACCAGCGATAGAACAGACAAGAAGAGGGGCCCGGCGAATGGCCATGCGCCCGTCTGTATGTCCGTCTGTCGGTCGGTCTCTCTGTCTTTCTGTCGGTTTGTCCCCGGGTGAAAGGGAAGGGAGGGTCCCTGGACCGGGTGTAGCTATGGAAATGGGCGACCCCTGGGGGCAAGGGGGAGGGGGCCCTGCTACAGGAGTCTTCGGGCCCATATATACCCAGCACACACTCACCTCCCGACATCTCACATCCCGGTCTACCACTAATCCCAAGCTGCACTGAACAAGTATTTAGCTGAAACTGGTGTTTTCAGCCAAATACTTGATCGTTGTTGTAGGGTGACTCCAGGCTGGTTGGTAGCTGGGGAGCGGTAAGTTAATTAGCAGTTAACAGCTTATTAGCTCGTTGACGTCGTCGGGGGTTTGCGTCCGATGATTTTTGAATTTCGAGGTTTTGACTATCGAGATTTCGGAAGTGGGCTGTCGGGGTTTTGGCCCTTCCGGATTGTGACCGAGATCCTACCTTATATAATTTTGGCGTGTAACTGTGTGTGTGTGTGTGTGGATGTCACTTTCGAGGCCCGATTTGAGGGCTTTCCCGTGCATAAAACGCTCTGATTCTTCATCACTAGGGGGAATCGACCCTTCTGTTTCCGATGGTGTGTCCAGAATTTCGCTAAAATATAAGTTTACAAAGTTAAAGCCGGTTTTACTCATTTTTGGGGGTAATTTGCATAATGTGAAAAAATACAAATTTGCTCATTCTTGCCATTTGCACTCGCGCGTGTGGTCGGGGGGGTGGTGGGTCCGATGGACCCGAGCTATCAGAAAGTCAAACTTTTCTTGCAAAGGCCGCATTCCAGCGCCCAAGGCCCGCGAAGCGGGTTTTGGGCGCTGGTTCCTAAGTAAAAATCAAGTGAGACTCCGTTTAGCACTGGCAATGGACCCGGTCGCCTCGTCGTTTCTCGTTTCCATCCACAAAATGCTGGAGATGAACAGTATGGTGGGTTTCTTTAATGTGGGTGTGTCTAGAAACACGGTCTTACTAATACTTAACAGGTGGATGCGCACGAGCAGCGGAAGGAGATAGCAGTGGCCATGTCTGCCATCGGCTCTTCCCTCGACAATAGCCCTGAGCCAACCGAGAATCTCACACAACGCAAGGTCCCTATTATCCATCCTTTCTGCTAGTCGGCAACCCCCGAAACGGCTTTTGCATCTGCTCGGAACCCCCGCGAGAGGCGGAAACAAAACCTTTTTTTCCTATTCTTTGCAAACAAATAGAAAGTATTTAAGAGTGTTTTTGGGTGTGCTTTCGTATTATCGGGGGGGGTAAGGAAACGCATTTTTTTAATAAGCTCAGACTTCCTTCGCAATATAATGGTATTTTAAGAGTTTCTTGCCAAATTGTAACGATATTCAAAAGGTACGACCATCTAATAACTCTGAAAATATCTTAAATTACGGAATTTTGGTCCAAAATCGTCTATTTTTGGCCGAGAAATGATACTTTTTGTACATTCTAATAAAATGTGTAGGCGTTTCAAACTTAGGCATAAAACCAAACTTGTAATAACCGTACCTCCTTTATAGAAGAAAAATTAAAGGTGGTTGCAACCCCCCTCCGAGAGAGTTTCTGATTTTCGCTATGATACACCCCTAAAGCCTAAAAACGGCAAAAATTTTCTTTTTAGCTGCACAAAAAAGTGAACCTGGAAAAGAAAATCGACTTTCTGATCCGAGTACGAAACCTGGGACGCCAGGACGACGATGAGCAAGAGGATGGGCAGAAGCCCGACTCGGACGATCCCGCAAATTATTATGATGATAGACCATCCGCGACGCACAGGTATCTTTGATTCGAATAGGCTTTTACGATTTTCAACCGCGGATTAGCTAAATTGCACATAAAAAATCAGCTGGCAAATCTTGGTTACCTTCGATACCCGAACGTCATACTCTAGGTTTGGCGATGTGCCAATCACCATGGTTGGAAAGAGCGAGCCGGTGTCAGCAGCGGATTTGGCCGGAAAGCCGTTCGTATGTGCCGAGTGCGGGGCAAGATTTACCCGCAAAGCCGGTCAGCCACCTACGCATCACCCCTATTTACCTCTCCTAACGCAGCTATGTAGAAATTTATTTCAGGAGTCCGCCGCCATTGCCGATCTATCCACAGTTCCGAACGGATACAATGCCCCTTCGAAAAATGCACTATTGGCTTTCGCTCGGAGAAGGTAAGCGCAGAGCGGATTGGGCAAACGCATATTTCTAGATGCTGGAGCAACACACGCGAAATGCTCATGGCTCACCGCAACATGCAAAAGAGAAGCGAAAACGCCGGAAGTCGCCGTTGAGGGCTGATTGATTTGTGTACCATTTTTACCTCGATTTGTTCCAGATAAACAGTTGATATTAAGATTATGCACAAAGCGATCGGCCGTTCTCTTTCGGATGAGCTTTGGCAATGGCAACTTACAGATATATTTATTAATAAACATCAAAGTTAAAAGCAAAACAAAGGGATCCTCCAGAACGGGGCGGGACTCAAAAAAGAATATACCGGAAGTGAAAAGCTAGTGCATTGATGTTCAAGTGCCGGGTATGGTCAAAGCATTCACACATGACGCACCAGTTTTACATATCAAAATTTCCTTTTAGGCGTTTAATCGGAAAACTTTTTGAGAGCGAAGGCATTCCATCCTTCCCCGATACTCGAGAGCCAGTCGGGCAGCCGAGCCTGCAAGATGGCCAAGAAGTCGAAGAGCAAATCCATCGTTAAAAGCACGAAGAGTCAGGTGGGAATTTGACTTTGTCGAGTCCATCCAAGTATTCAGGTGAAAAGCAGTCTTAGCAGCCGCGCGAAACCAAGTGATGCATCGGTAGGCTTGTTGGAAGAATTCTTTAAACCGTTTTTCGATTCAGGCAAGGCCGACGACGTCGACACGCGATGGCATTAAATGTTGGTGTTGAACTTCTTATAAAAACGTATTTCTGCCGTAATTTATTTCGACAATTTTCAGCCGTCATGCAGTCTCGCGCCTCGCGTTCTACCCGCGAGACGCTGCGTGAGACGGTGAATGTGGCCCGGAAAGCTCCTAGCGATGATCTGAGTAAGAATGCCTTTTATATTTTTCTTACTATTTCTTTGAAGTTATTCGCTTATAACATTAGTTTCTTTGATACATTCTTTTGATTTAGTCATCGCAGCGGTGCTGGTGGCCGCCCAGACGTTGTTGGCCTGCGTTGCAATCTATCTTGGCATCGCTGAATGGAACGACTGTCCGGTGCAGCGTCATCTGCCGCGTATCCTCCTCGTCACCGCGCTTTTCGTCTTGGCCAAGCAGGGCGTCGACCTTGTGACGATGCTTATGGTAAGACTGTGAGCAAAAAAGCCGGGCAAGCCTTTATTTGACCTTGTTCCCAACTCTTGTATCTCCGTTCCCCTTTGAGCTATCGGGCTGTAAAGTATACAAAAAATGTTCGTCTTCGTCGAATTAATGAGAATCCATTATATTTATGTCGAAAAAAGCGATGCAATTAAAAGAAATCTATTTTTAGTACACCCGCGCACAGAAGAAGCCACCGTTGGTGGTCCTCATTGTGCAAATCGTCCTACGAACTGTGATTCTTGGAATGTTAGGCAGCTTTTTCAAACGAAGCTTTTTCTAGGTTGATTTTGATGCTCGTGTTCTACCTGATTGCTCGTGCCGACCGCGATCCAGACTGGTCTCCATCTGCATCTGCCCCGTCCACCACCAATCCGCCATACCAAAGTGCTAAGGTAAAAGACAAAGGCCATTCGTAGAGAGTTGCTACGTGCGCTTACACAATGCTGCATTATAGCAACAGATGGACCTGTTGAACCAGCAACCGGCAGAGATCAAGCAAGAACCGGCTGTCTCCGAGGACAAGCGCTGTGGCCCGACCATCTACTATGCCACGTAATTTCAGTTCATTTTTCGCCTGAGAATTTGCATTTTAGCATGACCTACGTGATTTTGTGGCTACTGGGCCCTATTCTCTTGATGATCCTGTTCTGCGCATGCATTGGATGCTGCGTGCTGTTCTGTGGTCTGTACCTGATTTTGGACATTTTGGCTTACAAGGGAACCACCCGAGGTCGAGGTGGCGTTTCGTTATAAGACCCAGCCCATTTTGTGCAGAATTTTTCGCTGATTCCGAGTTCGCTGGTCATTTTTGCCAAATAGCTCGTTTTAAAAAGTTATAGCGCTTCAAAGTTCCATTTTTTCCCAAATTTGCCAACTTCAAAGCCATTTATTTTGCACTTCCCGGATGATTCATCAAAAACGAATATCGCCATCATATTCAGAAAATTTTTCTCTATCGAATGAGCTATTTAACTCAAAATTGTTGGAAATCGAAAAAAATCGACGATACTTGTTGGTATGGACTTCGTTTTTTGTATGGGACATGGTGA